GACTAACCTAAACAGATGCGACAAACAATGCAAATGTGAAAATTACATTTTGGCGAATGCGCCAGGCAAATTTTTCCGTTAGATTTGTCATATAGGCGAATTTTACAGCGGACCAGCAAAGTAACCTCCATTCGTTTACTAAGAAGCCACGCCTCCTTTGTGTAGAAAATAGAGAGGGAATTTTGTAGTTCGGAATCAAATAGAGATGATTTTAATTTCGTTAGTTTTTTTTTCAATTTTTGATACATTCACAATCTATACCTACTAATATATATAAAATTCTTAACCACTCAACGTAAGAAGCTCAATTTTGGCATACAGGTTGATTCTAGGGCGTAGAGGTTCGATAAGAAGACATTTTTCGAAATTCCAGTTCCAAGGGGGTGAAACCATCCCTCAAATATTACAATATTTTTATTTAAAAACGGTCAAGTTTCCGAAAAAACGCTTAAACACGTATATTTTATTTTGTTTTTTTTACATAATTTAAGATTTTTTAAAAATGTATACAGAGTGATTCGAAAAACCTGGTCATTGATTAATCACGATCCTGCTTAAAGCGCTTGACGTAAAAAGCTGATTTTTGGAAAACGGATTGACTTTAGGGTGTAGAGGTTCGATAAGAAGGGATTTTTCGAAACCCGAATTCTAAGGGGTGAAACCACCCCTCAAATATTAGAATATTTTTTATTTAAAAACCGATGAGTTTTTCGGAAAAACTCTTAAAAACGTATATTTTGTTTTGTTATTTTACATATTTTAAGATTTTTTAAAAATTTATACAGGGTGTTTCATAAGATATGACCATTGAGTAATCACGATTCTGCTTAAACTGCTTGACGTTTAAAGCTGATTTTTGGTAAACGGATTTACTGTGGGGTACAGAGATTCGATAAGGAGGGGTTTCTCGATTCCAAGAGGGTGAAAATGCCCCTGAAATATTACAATATTTGATATTTAAAAAACGGTTAGTCTTTCGAGAAAACGCTTGGACACGCATAATTTATTTTGTTTTTTACATATATTGATTTTTTTTTAAAAAATCATACAGGGTGTTCCAAAAAGTTGGGTAATTGATTAACTACGATTCTGCGTAAACTGCTTGACGTAAAAAAATTATTTTTGGCAAACAGATTTTTCGAAAGTCAAATTCCAACGAGATGAAACTACCTGTCAAATATTACCAAGTTATATAATAATATCGCCATATTGTTTTTTTCTGAGGCTCAGGACATAAATGTGAGAACATTTTATCCAGTTTGTATGTTAATGGAAATTCTTGCTTTGCTTTATCATCACCATTACAAATGATTAATTCGACGCAAACGAAGTCGCGGGTACACGCTAGTAATTAATAATAACTAAAAGATATTAATACATTTTAAAAAAGGTTTTTTACTATTAGGTATTTTTATGTATTTCTTATTTTATATTATATAATTTCTAACTATATAATTATTAGAAAGTGACTCCGCTGCCGGCGCCGGTTCCCTTAATGGTTGCCGGCTTCGGTTCCATTGACGGCTCAAAGAACGGCCGAAAGTAACGCCTAGCTATAGCCAATTTTGCAAGAGCAGCTGTGGCTCCGTTACTGAGACTGAGGCCATCACTTCGGGAACGAGAGGTCCGTGGTTCAAATCTCACGCCAAACTAGAATTCTTTTATTTTTTTACTGCTGTTTTTATTTTTAAAAAAAGCTGTAAATATTTAATAGCAATCAAAATACGGATTGCGTTGGTTTCACTCTTTTTGGTGAGGTTAGATTGATTATTTGGTGGAGTTAGTTGCGTTGGTTAAGTTGGTTATTTGGTGTTGATTGCATTGGATAGGTTAGCTATTTGGTGGGGTTGGTTTGGTTTTTATTAGTTTACATTTGTTTAGCGTTGGTTAGTCTCTGACGTTAACATTTTTATTTTCGGAGCCGGCATCTATGCTCCTGAATTGTGGAAGCCGGCGCCGGCAGCGGAGTCACTTCCTATACATATACTTCCGATTACAGGGTGGTCTGGGTCACAATTTCTTTCTTCTTAGTCTAAATACATTTGCAATATAAATACATTTGCAATATAAGAGATAAAAATTTGTTGACACGCCCGACCTCCGTTTTCCGTTTATTATAGGCGCTCTGTGCTCTCAGCTCCATTGGAACGAACTATAATTATTATAATTATCCCTAAATTTCATCTCCCAAAAAGGGAAAAAGTCGGTACAAACATTCCGTAAAAATTGGTTGTGGGAGTTTAATATTTTGACAAAGGTAAATTCATCCCCTAAAGAGGTGAAATTAGTGGTGGAAATTTATATAAAAATTTGTAAAAATCTCGTCCGAAGAATATACAATGATTTTGTTATTAATAATTTCAAAAGGTTTTTTAAGTAACGCAATGACTATATGAGAGGCGACTATGAAAATTCATCCCCGAGGAGGGTAAAATTAGGGCTGAACAATTATAAAGCCAAAACATAAAATAAAAACCTGTTCATTCAAAACATTACACAATAAAGGTTTCTCTAGGGATTCAATAAAAAAATCCGTCCCTTAAAATAAGGGAAAAAATGATTGTAAATATTCGTTAATATTTGGTATAGAAGTATGATATTTCGGTGTGGCATACTTACGAAGCGTTTTCTAGAAACTCATTTCCTAAAGGGGTAAAATTAAGGGCAAAATTTTATAAAATTCGTTACTACTATGTGGTTTAAAAGTACATAATATTTATGAATTAAAATTTGGCCAAATATGCTTAAGTATAATTGGGAAGCAATAGTATAGAGTAGAAGAAACGATTTTTGAAAATTCATCATCTCGGGGATGATAGGGGTGAAAGTTGGCATGAAAATTTATTACTACCTGGCATAGAAGTATAATATTTTTACAAAGTATATGTAGTTAATAAGTCGATTATTTGATCGAACTGTATGTGTATTTAAATTCACTTTTTTCGTATTAGAAAATCTAGGTATTTTCGGAAAAAACACCCACAGTTTTTGATATAATTTAGTCCTAGAAAATCTAAAAAATGTATCTTCTTCAGTTTATAGTGAAATGTTTTCTCATCCATTGAAAGCACACTTTTTTAAAAGCATTTTAAATAAAATCAAAACAAGAAACTTAAACTGAATAGCTGAATTAACTAAAACAATACTAAGAACACCGTGAACTAACTAAATGTAAACCAACAAAACCCAACAGAAAATTAAAATCGGAAACAGCTAATAATAATGATGTATGTAATATCCATGTGAAACAACTGAAGAAACTGACTTAAAAATCCTCTGAAAACCTTCAATATTCCCATCTTAGATTCCCATATCCTTTTTCTAGGACACTGTTGCCAATTCTACTTACCAATTTGTATAAACTATATCGGTATCACGGCACATGCAAACAATATGCCGTGTCTGTATCATAAAAGTACCTATTTGCTATATAAAAGATCAGCTGCTAAATTTTAAATCAATTTAAAATATCAAATAAAATTATAGTAGTGCATAAAACTATTAACAAGCAGGATATAAAAATAATTAAAGATAATTTAAGCTGGCTAATAGTAGATAGACTTTAGATTAATATTTGAAATTAACAGCTGGAAGTACAGCTAAATACAAACGGCAAGCTGACAACAAAGATCCTATTCTTTAAGAATTGTATATTTCTGATATTTTATATAATTTTTAATTTTAAAGAAATCGTCATTTTCTTTATACATATGTATTGATCTTAACCGATTGTTAAAATTTGTAAATTTCTCATACTTTACAAATAAATATTAGCTGATATTTCCTAACATCATGTAATAGTTATTTATTATTATCCAGGAGAAAGCGCTAATACAAGTACATATAACATTTAATTCTCACATAAAAAAAGTTCAAGCTGGCAATCTCGCTTTGACTTTATAATCGTGCGGCGGCTGCGACGGCAAGACGAGACGGCGCGGTGTATCAAAGGCAAGGTTAAATGCGAGAAAGAACGAAAGAAATGGAAGCTTAGGGGGGAGTGCGGGAACGATTTGAAGTCACCACGGCTGTTTGTTTGGCCGAATATTTTGCCTTCATCGACGGTATCGCCGCCCTGTCGTCGCACTTCCGAACATAGGTCTTTTTGAACAAAAAATTTCCCATAAGGTGTCGCATCTGTTTAACTTAGTTTGTGGTAGTAGTCATTTCCGGTGAAACCGAAGTGACCGAAAACAACTAAATACGCCAGTCAATACTAATTTATGTCATATACTTTTTTTAAAAAAAGTTAGAGGTGAGCGACTTTTGACAAACATCCGATATACCAAGCAATTTAGACTATTTTATTATGTTAAGGCTTAAGGTATAAAAGAAAAAAAACTATCAAAAACTACCTACTTCCAGTTAAAATTCATCAAAAATTAGCTTTTGTATTTTTGGAACGGCTTTAAATTTAATCTAAAAATTGTTAGATTTTCAAAAACCCCATAAGTATATATTTATTATTATTATATGTATATAGTATAGATTATGATTTTGTGTTATTGGTATATTCTTACAAATTCAATGAACAAAAAAATGTACAGAATTGTATTTTCAAAAAATAACTAGTTATTTTTGTCGGTTATAGTACCGTATGATCGAATAAAAACGGCGTCAGCAATGGCTATGATATGAAGATCGTTGTCATTTTATATGTAAAATTATATGGGAAATGTCATCGATCTCATTTCCAAGCCAACTGGACGCCGTTTTTTTTCGGTCATTTTCGGTATAACTTTGTTATAAAAATATACTTGAACCCTGTTACGAAAAATATTTTTAGAATGTGGGCTACCATGGCATCCATACTTTCGAAAATTAATAAATAAATAAATTAAGAAAGTTACCTCTTCCGGCCGCCTCGCGCCTCCCAAAAAGGGAGGCCTGGTGCGGCCGCACCTTCGCACCGCCTCTAATGACGGCCCTGGGTCGAAATACACCACCCCTAAAAATATTTGCACTTATAACTCACCCTGTATAATAAAAATTAATTTTAGAAATGCCAGAATAACCCTGTTTGGAACTTGGAAGAAATTCGTGCGGCCGACATAAATACTCAGAAGGGAAAGAAAGCATTTAGGTTAGTATTAAAATACCCCCAAACAAGTGACGGTTTAGAAGAAATGTTCATCATTGAAATGTTTTCAATTGTAAAAGTTAAACTAAAAAGAGTTCCTAATTCATATAAGTTGGAGGGTTACCTATTAAGACCAACTATTAAGACAAATTGATCTTGTATTTGTATACAAAATCTTTTCTTTTTTTGTTTGTTTTACGTGTAACATACTGGGACATACTGTTGAGTACACGAGTTTTTATACACTCAGATGCAAAAAAAATGCAATTGAAAATTTTTTCGTCAATTTTAAAGTGTTATATTTTTTTATTTTCATTGAGGACAAGCAATTTTCCCAACTTCCTACTTTTTTTTAGAGGCCATAATACATGTAATAATGTATCGTGATAGGAATAAAAACCCTAGTTCAAAAAAAATTGTTTTATTAATTTAAAACTTAAATTTAACATTATTGAACATTATAACATGCATAAATAATTATTGTTATGACAACTCTAAAGTTAAAATAAAATCGTACCATCCTTAATATTTTTAATTTGGGATTTAGAGGTCGCGTTGTCATGACTAATTTCCCAACTCAATTATACATTGGGGGAGAGCATCACCCCCCATAGCTTCACTACTGATACTAAGGGTCGGCATTTCTGATTTTCGGTGCCGATTTTCGTGTGTACGAAGAGTACGGTCAACACGCTTAGTAAAATAAGATGTACTGAATTAAAACAGAAGGCAAGTATTTTTTCAAGCGCATGGAATCTAGCGTCAAATTAAGTGATTATGTAATAAATACTTCGTATATTTGCTCTCTCCGACTTACTAGATTGCCATAGCGATTCACTCGTATAGGTACATGTAAACGCCGACCCAAGGTTTCGCTTGCCAGCGGAGTATAAATATATCAGCTTTTGTTCTTAACTTCAATTTTTATAAACTTGCATTTCATAAACAAGTATTGGGCTTTATCATGCAGGGTTTATTGAATGGTTGTTTTTTACCATAAATTTAAAACATCCTGTGCAATAATTTCGTGAACAAATTTTACTAAAACATTATTTTTCTGTCAGAACCGTGTCTCCTGAGCATTTTTTTTTTGGATCATGTCAATACATGCCTTGGTTAATTTTTAAGAGCATAATGCACTTGCCACCAACAATTTGCAACTTTTTCAATCATCATTTAATTTTGAAGTTATTTTTCAATATGACAAGACGGCTTTGGTGATTATTGTGAACTATATACTACTATGAACTGCCCATCATGTTCGACGTTTTGGAAATGCTTGGCAGAATGGTTAGAGGTCGCGAAGCGGTACCAGCTTCATTAAATGAATTTCGCTTGGTCCTTAAGAATGGGAAAATATAACGCAATATGACATATGCAGCCTCAATGACAGTATGAACTTCTCTGGTATGAACGCACGTATACAGACAGCTAAGACAGCCAAGGGAAGCAATACCAAGGGTATTTTTTACGAGTTTTTTTTATATTTTTGTATACTTGAGTAGTACAGATGTTTTATTTAATATCGTTAGTTCCGTTATCGCTATTAATGTTTATTAAAACTTTATTTTTATTATTACTCTTTAACGTTTTTCTTAATTTAGTAGAGTATCTAATGCAGCGTAATATGACGTTGTTACGACAATAATCACGAAAGCCAACTCGTCATATTGAAAAATAACATCAAAAATTAATAACTGAAAAAATTGCGAGCAAATTGTTGGTGTCAAGTTCATTTCGCTCTTAAAAATTAACCAAGGCATGTGCTGACATGAGATAAAAAAACAAAACGCTTAGGAGACATGATTCTGACAGAAGAATAACGTTTTAGGAAAAATTGCTCACGAAATTATTGCACAGGGTGTTTTAAAGTTATGGTAAGAAACTATTCGATAATAAAGTCCAATACTAAAGTTTACTCAAAACTGAGGCTAAGTTAATTAAAATTAATACATATATTTATATACAGTTTACCAAAAAAATGAAAGTTGGGCTAAAAATAAAAAAAATATATCACTTGAGAAAATGTTTTCCGTTGCGTTTTTTGAATCTGAGTGTATTATGAAAAATATTTTTGGATACTTTGTTTAAAAAGGTTTAAATTGAGTAGTTTACTAGAACTTTTTATATTTTCCGGTAATATATACAAAATATTTAAAATTAAGTCTCTAAAATATCTTACAATTGGTTTATTTTTTTAACTTGGTATTTACCAAATTGTTTAATTTTATTATTGTTTAATCATAAAGTATCCCAAAATAAATACTCACACGCAATTATAATTGTGTTCATTGAAACAATGTTGACTTGGAAATTTATATTTTGATAATGAATAAATTTTATAAATAAAATGCATTTTTATTTTCCTAGCCTATTATATTACAAATATTTGGGATTAAAATTGAAATTACAATGAAATAAACTAGTGACTGCAATTACTGTTTTATTCCTCATAACCTGAAGGGAGAGCATTGGTTTTTGGGTTGTGGAAAAGGCTATGGTTGCCATCACCCCATGGGAATTTTTTAGTACGAACGGCTAAATAGTCATATTTTATAAATTCTGGCCTTTCAGCGTGGTGACTTTGATGTTGAAGATAGCAATTTACTGCACACAGGATGATGGCAGGTGCTGCTACAAAAATTGAAAGATTCTTCCAGATTTTGTAACCACCTGAAATAAATAATAGTATCAATAACCTGTCTAAAAATATAGCATTTATTGGAAAACTGCAAATAATGTATCTTTCTAAAAATTAGTGTGTCCCCTAATTTTAGGTTGTAAGTTATGCTCTTAATTTTTTGGGACCATTTAACGGTGTTTACAGATGATTCTATATTGCATTTTTTATAGAATTTTTGGTTTGGTTAAAGCTGAGTGGGTGGAGAATGAATCAAACATTAAGAGGGCACATGAAAAGAATTTAGTTGTCAGGTGCCTAAGTATTATAATTATTGTAAAATGACTAATGGTCCAACTAGCTGTAACAAAAGCTGTAATAAAAGCTGTAAACAAGCTGTAATTAATCAAAAGGCTTCTTGGACAGTTTTGGTTATTGGTTGTGGAAGATGTGTGAAAGAAATTTATCAAACTATACCTATTTTGTCTCATGTTTGTGAGACAAAATACGACTGTCATTTTTCCATTACAATATCTCTATAATTATCTTTATTATGGACTTTACATTAAAATCCAGACCGCGGGTGTAGGATCACCAAGACTGTATTTTCCCCTTCTTTTAATATAATCTTCAAATTTTTCACATTTACTATAAATATTTTCAAAATCAGATCTAAGGAATTTACCATAAAAATATATGCATGGAGTGATTGAAATGTCTAGGTATAAATGAAAGTCTGTAGCGCTCTGTACTTTTTGTCCACAATCATTTGTTTTACCCTGATGAAACTGATTATCCACATCTTACGTAACACAAATCTTACATAAATAAAAGCTTACCTTCATGAATTCCAGAGACAGCTGAAGGGCCTTCTACCTGGGCGCTTCTTTGAGCTGATGTTTGAATGAATCTTTTTGCGGCGTGTTGTAGTATCGCTGCCATGTCGCTTAAAATATTATACAATCTTTTTAAAAGCTTTTTTCTTTTCTATTCCTGCTTCACGAAACTCCTTTACGTGGTTTTACGTCAAATGTCAAAATATAGTAAGTCATCAACGTCAATGTAATAGCTATGTGCATAAATATCGATTTAATAACTTATCGATATACATGCTTAACGCTCACGGGTGGGTAACTATTCATACTCTCCGATTTTTCATACTTTAAAAAAAATTATTTTAAATTGAAAAAAGTTGTATGTGCACTATGTGTGCATATTTGAAGTGCAACTTCTTACTAAGGCTGGTATTACACTATAAAATTTCTTTGCCAAAGATCTTTTATTGAAGATGATTTGAAGGACATGTTTGAAAAAGTGTAGTTTGAAATGTTGAAAAAGTAATAAATTTAAAATTAATAAATAACTTGATTCACTTTCACAACATTTGTATTAACATATCAATATTTTTGAACATTACGTGGACTGCTCACAAATACACTTCGTGTCACTACGTATTTCTAAGCCGTAGGCTGTCCTTACCACTTTTTGTCTCGCGCTTGTGTGTCACGGCTTTGAATTTTTACTCCCAGCGTGCGTAAAGAACTTTCACTGCAAAATACTAGTATATTGTTTTATTAGGAGTAAAAATGACACTTTTGTGGCGAGGCGGTTTGTCATAACTTCGCGAGTTTTTGATCTACGAACTTTTTTAAAAAAAGCATTTAAAAGGCCTTTTTAAGCACTTTAAAAACGGTCATATTCAGTTTCTTCGAAAAATGTGTCATTTCGCCATTATTTTACGGTAAAAGGTTTTTGAGTAATTTATAAAAATTGGCAAAAATATGCAGTTTTTAGATGAAAAATCAACATTTTCAATCCTAAATAACTAAGAAAATATTAATTTTCTGAAAAAAAATTATAGAACATTTTTTGCTTAGAATTCATCTCTTTATTGATTTTTGCAATTAAAATGGATGATTTATTTTTCATCCCCCAGAAGAAGGGGTGGCACTCACCCCCAGGGTAAAAGCGCACATCGCTACTATGTAACTTTTGTTTCTTACATATATCTCTATTCACTGTTGAAATTTCACGTCAATCGGTGCAGGGTGTTTTGTGGGTGCAGGTGTTCAGAATTCGGACCCTAAAACCCTCGCTTACTGGCCTAATAATAATATAAGAATCCTAGATCATATATTACTTACTTTTTGTATTTAAAGTATTTCAGAATTTTTAACGGTTTTTCGAATATTCGTGGCATTATATTACATACGGGGTATAATTTTTATTAAAGCCACCCAATGATTTTTGTCTAGTATTTTAGCGTTGAAAGAGCCATAATATGTAATAAAACGAAGAAAAACTATTTTATATTTTAAGAAGCTTGGCATACAATTTTGAACACCTTGTATGGTTAAAGATTACTATATTTGTAGCAAAGTACGTACAGACTCACTACAGTAAATACCTGATATAGTTTTGATTTCACATTTCTTGTATTTTTAATAATTTTTTGAAAAAATCCTGAAAAAAATATTTTTTGTTCATATTTATTAAAATATCTTTGAAACTATTACAACTTATTTAATAATATCTTAGGATTATGTAAAGTGATTAAAAAGGAAGCGAAAAGTGCAATAATATACGGGGTGTTCCATTTAAAAAAAAAATATCCCTATCCACTCACACTTTTTTGAGCCACCCTGTAGAGGTTAAAATATTTCCATGAAATACATCCTAATACATACTTTAGGTCTGCACTAAAACAAAATTCCTAACTTTTTTATAATAGGAGCTACAGATGGCTGACGCACTATTGCCGGACCCTGTATAGGATCCTGTACAGGTCGCTTTTATTTATGGAAACGGTCGATTATTAGGTAAAATATAGGAGGTACCGCAAAAAGTTAAATACAAAAGTGATAGGATTTTTAAATATCTCTTAGCGAGTAATAAATTTAAGTATACAGGGTCGTTCATAAAGTCGTGGCACATCAAAGTTTCATTTTTTTTAAATGGAACCCCCTGTATATTATTTCATATTTCGGTTCTTCCTTCAATTCTAAGCAAAAATCGAAATACACACAATGTACAACCCTGTACAACCAACCGTTTCCGAGTTATTGAGTTTTGAAAATATCACTTACACAATTCGATTTAATTAATTTCGATGTGTTTGGTTTGATTGATGACATTCTGCCGAAACTGTGATACTGTTGTAATGGGTTTTTAAATTCCTATTAGCTACTAGTAAATTTAAGTACCTATACAGGGTCGGTCATAAAGTTATGTTACATCAAATTTTTTTTAACGAAACCCCCTGTATATTATTGCATATTTCAATTGTTCCTTTAATTTTAAACAATAATCCTAATACACAATCTACATAAATTAATTTGAAGAATTGAAATGTTAACAGCGTTTTCAGATGGAGCGGATCGTCCGCGACGGACCGTGCGTCGTGTCGTGTTTTTTTCAAGATAGCCGTCGGACGAAATCATCCGGATAGAGCATACGCGCCCATGTGAAATTGTTCATACTAAGGGTCGGCATTTCTGGTCTTGGGTGCCGGTTTTCATGTGTACGAAGAGTACGGTCAACACGCTTAGTAAAATGAGATGTACTGAATAAAGACAGAAGGCGAGTATTTTCCCAATCGCATGGAACTTAGCGTCAGATAAAGTAGTTATGTAATAAACACATCGTATTTTTGCTCGACTTACTAGATTGCCATAACGACTCAGTCCTAACATGTAAACGCCGACCTAAAGGTTTGCTTGCGATGCCAGCGGGGTATAAACCCATGGTGCTTGCTCGAAGTCGCGGAAGGTCCGTCGCGGACGCTCCGCTCCATCTGAAAGCGCTGTAAACGAAGATTTTGTAATTTCCAGACTTGATATACTCTCATTTTATACATCTATAAATGCTAACTTGAGAACTAATGTCAAATATTATTAAGTATCACAGTTTCAGCAGAATGGCATAGGTAAAAATAAAACTGAACATATCGAAATTAATTAAATCAAATTGTTTAAGTGATATTTTCAAAAGTCAATGGTCGCGTTCATCAGGACGTAGCGCTACCGTAGCGATCACTAATTTTCTGCTGAACGCGCCGATTAGTTGTGAGCGCTCTGGGATCAGTCGCCATTTTTTCCATCAGATTTAAAATACGCTACGCTACCGATGCATGATGGATTAAACGTCACATACGCCAAATGTCACAAAATGTTTTGGAAAACGAAAACAAAGCATTTTGTTTATTGTTCTCGGTTGACTAATCCCCTCGATTTGTGCCAAAAATGGGTGAAAACAATTTAATATGCATTACTTATGATTTTGATCTAAAAAGCACGTTCAGCAGGACAACCAATCGATGGTACATCGCTCACTGATCAACTTGTCCTGATGAGCGCGACCAATAACTCGGAAGCGGTTGGTTTGGGGTGCATTGTGTGTATTTCGATTTTTGGTTAGAATTGCAGGAAGAACCGAAATATGAAATAATATTAGGGGGTTCCATTTAAAAAAATGAAACTTTGATGTGTCACGACTTTATGACCGACCCTGTATACTTAAATTTATTATCCGCTAATAGATATTTATAAACCCTATAACTTTTATATTTAACTTTTTGCGGTACCTCCTATATTTTACCTAATAATCGACCGTTTCCATACATAACAGCGACCCTGTATATCCTACGCGGAGCAAAGGGCTTCAGTGAAGTTCCTTTCTCCATCGGGTTCTATTTTTGGCAGTTGTTTTTGCTTCCTTCTATGTTGATCCTACTTTTTGAAGCTCGTCCAGTATGGAACATCTCCACGTTTGAGCAGGTCGTCCTTGCTTCCTTTTTCCTTGGGGATTCCAGTCCAACGTTGTTAACTTATAGCTAACAAGCTTAGGTATTAACTTTATAACAGAAAAAAACATTAAAAATTTTAGGAGTACCTACAACGTACGTTTCGCTAACCATATTAGCAAACCAATTCTTTCAATCAACGATATTAGTATTTCTCCAAAATAAAATATTTTTTATTTTTTTTGATATTAGTATTTTTAGAATTTAGGTGTCTTTTGATAAGTCATGGTAGTGAGATAAAATATCGTACAATCGAAAAAAAAAACGGCGTCAAAGACGGCTGGGGAATGGTAATCGATGATAATTTTGGCGAGGTCAAACCCTAGACATTACTACTTGGCTATTTTTTAATCGCGCTTACTGCCATTGTAATTTATTTAAAAATACAATTTTTAAATAGCGTAGTTTTAAATTCGAGAAAAAATATTTTTTTTGGAAATAGATTTGTGTATCTGGAAACAGTGACGGATACAGAGGGGGGGCCATGGGGCCCGGGCCCCCCCTAAAATCTGTAAATTTGTGTTAAATATTATTAGGCTTTTGGGTTAAAAATGGCGCCCTAAAAACATATTCTGCATTACTTTTTATTTTGGGCCGCCCCTAAAATAAATTCCGTTATCCGCCCCTGTCTGGAAACGTTATATCCTTTTTTAATTTTTCTATATAATTTTTAATATTTCCCTATATGTATAATTAGTAATTATTTTGAAGTCTCATTTTACAAAATTATCATCGATTAACATTCCCCACCTGTCTTGACGCCGTTTTTATTCGATCATACAATATAAGAAAAATAAGTACCTAGGTAATTATTAATTTTTGTAAGAAAACAAATTCGTAGAATATTGTAAACATAGACAGACACAAATACCGCATGATTGAAAAAAAAATGACGTCAGCGTTGGCTGTGAAATGAATAAGATCGCTGTCATTTTATATGTAAAGATATATGAGAAATGTCACTGATCGTTATTTTCACAGACGTCGTTTTTTTTCTTTCGATCACCCCATTTTATACAATCAGCGCTATTGTTGAAAAACAATTGAAAATTTGACAACTTTAAAAGACAAAACGTTTATAACAATATTTTTTAATGGCATACGGCTATTCAGGTTTCCGAATCTCAACAAAACACCAATGTTTTGCTTTTTTTGAAGCTACTTGACAAAACAAGAGCAAAAAATCGTTTTAACATCCAGCACATGTAGAACGATTTTGATCATCTCAAACTCCATATCGTTTTGTTAAAATTTCGGTTCAGAAGTCATAAACAGAAGGAAACGAATAGGCCTATATATCGAGTTAAAGCAAGAGAGACATTCCAATGACGCCTAGAGTGGTTTGTTTTTTGTTTAAATAATTTATAATAGTTCAGAAAATCAGTTACAAAATTGCTTTATTTCAGTTCCGCTTTGTATTGAATATCATCAAAAATTTCCGGTAGTTTTTTATTTTATTAAAGATATTTGTTATTATAAGTAGAAGAAAAAATACCTGTTATTGAAATGACTGTAATTTGTGAAATATGCCGTTTGAAACTGCCAACTGCAAAAATATTAATTTCTCACTATTTGTGTAACCATTCGAAATTTAAATTAGCCTGTGAAATTTTGAGATTAAGTGTTTTAAAGAGTACACCAAAAGTTTTGTCCAAGCAATTAGAACGTAAAACAAATACAAAATCCAACAGAAAAAGAATAAGAAGGTCTGAAACATTATTTGTAAATGATAATATTCATATTTTATATAGAAATAATGAAATTATTATTAGAGATGATAAAAGTGCTGTGGATATGGAATTCTCATTCGAGGAAAAATCATCTAAATCACAGGTTCAGCTTGATAACAAAGAAGTAAAATTAACCAAACTTGATGTAAATAGCAATAGTAGTAGCAACAATATCTATAACGAGTGCAAATCTGTAGAACGCTTTCGAAATACTGTGAAACTGGAAAATAAGAAATGTCTAGAGCCTGGATTAAATATATCTTCCAGCAGTATCTCATCGGAGGATACAGTTAGGAAAATTTTACCCAGAAAACGAATAAAAAAACGAAAGGATGTTAGAGAAAAAACAAGGCATTACAAAATTAACATAACCACATTGAAGACCAACGAATCCTTTAACGAAATTACGGGTTAGTGTTTCTACAGGGTGGTCCGAACTGTATTCCGGAAACTACGGCAGCATATTCTGCAGATAAAAATAAGTAAAAAAGTTCATATAAATGTATGTTCTAAAACGCTTAGTTTCGGAGATACAGGGTGTAGAAGTTTCATTTTTATTTCTATTTCTCCAAATAATTTCTGAAGTAACGTCAATATTTGGATGAAAATTGGTGTCTGGAAGTTTTTCAACATGAGAAATTTGATTTTGATGTCAATATGACTCCTAGTAGTAGAGGGCGCCACCTACATATTTTTTAACTGGTTTGAAGAGTAATAACTTTTCGTCCCTACCGGTATAAAACTACTGAGTGAAAGGATATACATTTCCGTGACTTTTTACGTAAAAAATGTCTCTTGGTAAAAATCACTACGAGCCACCGTTCTCAAGATATTTAAAATGGAAATAGTCAATACATGTCATTATTGATGAAAAATAAACAACGTTGAGTATAGATAGTTATTTGACTGAAATAATAAATTTGGAAAATTTTTATTTTTCTAAATTAACCATAATTTTTTCTGCGAAACAATGATGAAAAAACAGTTTCTGTTAAACTTTTGGCATAAAAACATTTCAAATTTATGATTTCAGTCTAATGACTGTTTAGTCAACATGCTTAATTTATGTTAATGATGATAGATATTGATAATTTCGATTCCAAATATCTCGAGAACCGTTACTCGTAGCGATTTTTACCAAATAGACAAGAGACCTTTTTTAAGTAAAAAACGTCGTAAATTTATATTTTTTTACACGCTAGTTTTATACAAGTACGAACGAAATGTTATAACTCTCCAAACCAGTTAAAAATATGTAGGTAGCGTCCTCTAAAAGTAGGAGTCATCAAAATCAAATTTCTCATGGCAAAAAATTCCCAGACACCAATTTTCATCCAAATTTTGACGTTACTTCAGAAATTATTTGGAAAAAATATAAATAAATATGAAACTTGTAAACCCTGTGTCTCCGAAACTAAGCATTTTAGGACATACCTACATTTATACGAGCTTTTTTACTTATTTTTATCTGTAGAATATGCTGACAAAATTTCCGGAATACAGTTCAGATCGCCCTGTATAACTTTATAATAAAAAATAAATTTAACAAATTTTATTCATTAAGCGGGTATAGTCTGTCTAACGAGAGCATCCGTGACAGTGACAGTTGTATCTGTCATTTGAATTTACTAGTAAATTGTATTTTCATGTCATCATTTTTTGAATGCCATCGGTCGAAATCTTTCTTGGACCGTTGGATAGACTATACCATCAAATAATAGTTATAAGAGTGAGTTATAAGCGTTATAGGTTACAAAAAAATTTAAGGCATTTTATTTAAAAAAACAACGACTTTTGCCTTGAACAATATTGTTTGTAGTATTTTGTGTCAAACATTTTTGAATCATATCACCATTACATCTCTGTAAAGATAATTTTAATAATTATACCGGATGTTTTTCATAAGTGGCTCAGCCCTATAAATGTTTGATTTTTTTTCAGACAAAAAAACGAGAGGGTGTATGTTAGTATATGACATAAATCAGGATTGATTGATGATTTCAATTATGTTCAGTCACTTCCTGTTTCACTGATGGAAATGACTACTATAAATAGTATTTTCGGTCTCGGTATATTTTTACTTTATTTCTTAGAAAATGTCATTCTGCCAACTTTTGACATCTTCGCTTAAAAAAATAGTATCCTAAATTTCAATCTAGATAATTAACTCTGTCCATAACGAAAATTTGACTTGAAATACCAAGTATGTAGTACCAGTTAAATAAAACACTAAATCACCACAATATACCAAAACACTTTTACTTTTACACTGGACGCGCCTTTCGCTAACCATGTTAGATGTTAGCAGCATCAGCAGATTATTAAAACTTAAACTTAGTTATAAATGGTCCGGCAAAAGTGCATCTTAGACTAAAGAACTTCTGAATTTTGTTTAAGTGCAAACTTAAAGGATGTATTTCAGGAAAATATTTTAACTTCTACAGGGTGGTTCAAAAAAGTGTGAGTGGATCAGGATGACTTATTTTAAATGGAACACCCTGTATCTTATTGCATTTTTGGATTTCTTTCTGATCACTTTACATAATTCTATATGAGTAAATATATTTCGATAATTTCAGAGATATTCATAAATAAATAAAGAATATATATTTTCAGTCTTTCTTAAAAAAATAATTAAAAATAGAAGAACTGTCCTGCAATCAAAACTATATTAGGTATTTACTTTAGATGGTCTGTACTTAACTTTGCTATAAATATGGTAATCGTAAATCATACAGGAGGTTCAAAATTCTATGCCAAACTTTTAAAAATATAAAATCTTATTTAAAGTGATCAAAAGGGAAGCCACAAATGCAATAATATAAGGATGTTTTTTAATGGAACACCCATTAAAAAAAATCATCGCGATCCACTCACACTTTTTTGAGCCACCCTATAGAAGTTAAAATATTTTCTTGAAATGCATCCTCGTGCATACTTTAGGTTTGCACTTAAACAAAATTCTCAAGTTTTCTATTCTAGGAGCTACAGATGCCCGACGCACTATTGCCGGGCCCAGGGGTGATAAAAAACACCTAGTATACGCTACAATTTATCGCCATACCTTGAAATAAAAGATTGGAGTGAAAATCTGAAATAGAAATATTGATGTAAATAAACCTTTTCGAAGCACTGGCCAAACACTGTACGTTGTTATTTTTTCAGGTAATTTTTACTATTGCACCTGTCGAGATGATAATAAAAATAAAGTGAATTTGAATAGTTTGAAATTAACATCGGATACTGAATCTGCTTCGGATAATGCTAAAACTAACACGTACGATCCAAAAGTATTTTGTAGTAAATGTGGAAATGGATATCGTGAGGAGCGAATGTTACTAGAACATATGAAAATTCACGAGACACATTGCAGGTGAGACTAGAATAATATAGTAGAATAAATAATTATAATAATAGTCTATCCAGCGAAGGAATGGCAGTTGTTGTTTGACAGTTTAATTAAGAATCAATGCTGTGTTTTAAGGTCGCTGAGGACAATGAGAATTCAGAAAAATTTCACAGGGATTTAGAGTTTTTTACACAACGTATAGTGATCAAGACTCCCTTGGTCTTGCAGTTTAATAGTAGTCTGGGTCCATGGTCTTGCAGGATCCAGCCTTAAGCTTGATTTTCATGCGTCCGTCATCCGTTGATATGATGGTCCGACGGCGATTGGTCATACCGTTTTTGCGCCACTTTTCATCCGTAAATTTTTTACTCAAGCCCGTCAACGGAGACAAGGACAAAGATCGTACCACAGTTTAAAGAATATAAAATATATTAAATATATTTTATATTCTTTAAACTGTGATCGTACGATAACGGACGTTTTGACACTTTTTTGACAAATTTAATCTAAACTTAATAAAAATATAATAGTACACGAGCTAGCACCGTCAGGAAAACGAGAATTTTAAAGAAAGCTGGTTCTGAAGTACATATCTTTAGCTATGCTCTACTGACCAAAGTGCGGGCCGTCTGGCTGCCTGTAGACTACTGCGCTTCACATCTGTACAGGGTATCCCATTTTCGTGTATTTTATGGGATTTCTCGTTTATGAGTACACATAATGATGCGATTTTCACATGACTTTGCTACTTTTTTATGAAACTAAATATGCTACACATAAGTTTGTCCTAGCCTCCTTAGTTCCTGAAATACAGGGCGAATTTGTGATGCGCAATAGTAAACAGATGTTGAATACTAACATGATGCGCAGTAGTGAACGCAACGTCTACCGGCAGCCAGACCGTCTGCAATCTGTTCAGGAGAGCATGGCATAGCAAAAGGTATATTAAAGGACCAGCTTTCTTAAAATTCTCTCTAAAAAACTTTGCTAGCTCTTAGACTATAAGTAAAACAGCGAAATCGTTATGGAAATGAAAATATAAAATGACACCAATCACAAGCAAATCGCATATCCGATGAACGAAGGCATGAAAATGCAATAAATTTAAAAACTGCGTAATTTTATAACCAATCAAAGTCTTTATTTAAAGACTTATTGGTTGAATTTTCAACCAATTAATTTTATTGGTTGAATTTAAAGATTTCGATTGGTTAGAAACGGTTATCTAATCCAAGCCTTTAAATACAACCAATGAAATTCAAATCGTATCAACGTATCATCGAACAACGGATGTATGAAAATCAAGCTTTATGCCTTGCTGCAAGACTGTTGTAAGTCTTGCACTTTTTTAATGGATTTTTACTAACTACTGGCACTTTCTACATAAAAAAAAATATTTAAATAAATAGTATGTTAAGAAATTTAATGCAAATGAAACTTTTTGAAGAAAGAATAGTATATATTGTTCTATAAAGAGTAAAAATTACACTTTTTGCGACGAGGCGGTACGCTTGATATACAGGCGAGGCACAAAAAGTCATTTTTATTCTGAATAGAACACAACACAGCTATTTTTTTCAAACGCCACAAATAATTTTTCAACTGATTTCTCTCTTTCTCAAACGTTCCAAATAATAAAAGTAGATTTAAAAGTTAGATTTAAAAGTTATCAAGAGGAAAGTAATTTACGGCTCGTTGAATTTGACACTTTATGTCAGTTTAATAATATATTTTCGTACTTTTATGCTTAGGCGTAAAAATGCTTTACTTTTATGCCTAGGCGTTAAAATGTTTTTTTTAATATTGTCAATCATGTCGCAGAAACTAATACTTTTGTGACGTTTGAAAAAAAAATATTTGTCCGATAAAAATTTTTATTTTCCAGTATACAGAGTGGTTCGAATTGTAGTCGGGAAACTTCGGCAATATATTCTGCAGATAAAAATAAGTAAAAAAGTAGGTATAAATTAGTGATGGGATAACTCGAGCGAAAATTCGCTCGTGTACTCGATTATTGAAATAACTGACATCGCTCGATTATGAACGAGCAATGCAAGTGACGAGTTACGAGCGATGAACGCAAGCGATCCTAGAATAAAACAAATTGCGCGATTTTAATGTAACATACTTGATAAAAAGCCTAGCGAACTTTCTACATACATTGCAGGTAGCAAATTTATACGACGTTTTCCGTTGTGTATCTGAGTGACAACATTTTACGACCTACATCGACAATGCTTTAAATTAAACTAAATCAAGCGAATTACGCTTTACTTGTCGCTTGCTACTTGCCATTAGCCATTCATCACCGAAAGAATATGTGCTCTGCGCACGCAACTTACTGCTTGGCATTACGATGTCAGTATAGCAAGCGACGGGCGAAAAATCGTATTTTTAAATACGAGCGAAATATCGCTCGAGCGATCGTTCGATTATTGAAATCGCTTGAAACTCGAGTACTCAATTATCGGAATTAATCATTTTTTCCATCACTAGTACAAATATATGTCCTAAAATACTTCGTTTTGGAGATACAGGATGTAGAAATTTCATTTTTATTTTGTTTTTTTCTAAATAATTTCTGAACTACCTCTGAAACCAAATTAACGTCAATGTTACTTTGAATGTGGTAGACAATGAATCAATATTGAAATTAAAAGAATTTCGGACTTCCATTGTCTTTATTTATTTTTTTATTAACACAACATCTCGCTCGGAAAGAAGGATTACTGATTGTTATCAAGAGGAAAGTAATTTAATTCCTAAAACTACTGAGCTTTTACACTACAGCCAGGCATTCATCCTTGAAGAAGTATACCTGCTTTGGTGCGTCTTATCCATGGTGCCATATCGTGCCATAATACGTTATTTTCCTGTAGACAACCCGAGCTTCTGACTACTTTATATTGTGATGTTTTGACCAAACATGGTCCGCATTACCTGACTTCATTGTTTCACTTTTTTACATGTTTTTTGTGCTCGCTAAGTCGTACATTTAGGCGACGTTTAGTCTTTTCAATATACGACTCACCGCATTCACAAGGTACTTTAGTAAGTGGCAGATGCACTGTTTCTCTTGTTTCAATGATTCCGGTCTTGATTTTGTTAGGACGCTTCTTAATAGAGTCGATCCAGATTTGAAGATCTTTATAGTTTTAATTTTACACTTTTTGACTATTCGCCTGATATTTTCTGACGTTCCTTTTACATTATGGAATAGTCAAGAGAGGCATCCTCCTCAGGTCGATGAACCAATGAGTCAGTTTTTTTTCCACAAGGGGCCGTCCTCTGCCGGAAACACTGCGACCTGTGAGGCCTATTAATTGTGTTTGTCCCCTTTCTATATCTGCACTCATTCTCCTATCTCTGTGCCCTGCGCTAACTTATGCAGATCCTTGATAGGATGGGAGCATAGTTCCTCCGGTTCTAGCCTAGCTTTCCCAAATAAAAAGTATCGCTTGCGATCCAGAGCCTTGCAGTGACATATTATGTGCTCCGCTGTTTCAGGATCTTTATCGCAGAGTCTGCAGCAAAGACTTCCTTGATGTAGAATGTAGAATGTAGAATGTTTAGGAGGGGAGTTAATAACCGCGACCTTATAGATCTCTATTGTGTGTTCCCCTTTCTTGAGTTATAACGAGTTATAACTCATCATACAGTCTCAGGGCTTTAAAAAAATCCAGTATCTGAGACGGCTCCACAGAGGCCAGCTCTCCATCCTCGACATCAGACGTACCAAGGTTTATGGCACGAATGGTCGTCGTCTCGGCGCACTCAGTGATAAGGTGTTCTGGTGTTTCCCCATTTTCCCCACAAAATCTGCATTCGCCATTGTTTCTCAGTTTCAGCATACAGAGGTGTTCGTTGAGGAGACAGTGTCCTGTTAGAAACCCCGTGACAATCCGAAGATTGTTTTTACTTAAATCAAGGAAAACCTTTGATTTTTCTCGGTCATAAGTTCTGAGGAACTTTTTCGAGTGTCTTAGACCGTTGGAGGACACCCATTCCAAGTTACGGATGGAGTTTTCCAGATTCTTCAGTTCCGCTTTCAGTTGGTTCCCGTTTGGAAAACAGAACGATTCTGGTCCAGTTAGTGGAGTGTTCGCTCCTTTTCTAGCTAGATCATTTGCTTTTTCATTGCCTTCTATCCCTTGGTGAGCAGGTACCCAGAGTAGGAGGACTTTATTTTCTTTGCCTAATTTGTTGAGCTTCTCTAGGCATTCTTTGACCAACTTCGAATTGATGGTTACTGAGTTGATCGCGTTGAGTGCTGCTTGACTATCGGATAGGATGGCAATTTCCTGTTTTCGATAATTCCTATCTAAAATAAATTGTACGCATCTTTCGATAGCGCAAATTTCTGCCTGAAGGATACTGGGGTAGGTGCCCATTGGTTCGGAGTATTTAGTTTTCGGCCCAAATACTCCTATCCCTGTCTCTGCTTTGGTTTTGGAAGCATCAGTATACCACGTGATGGTATGGTCTTTTATATGCTGAGTAAGCGTTTCTTGCTTCCAATCCTTTTTATTACTCAATACTACAGTGAGGTGTTTCTCAAAGTTGTAAATTCTTGGTATGTCATCCAATGGGAGTTGGAGAAGTGGAATTTTCTTTTTGAGAGTGTTTCAAGCCCCTGACCTGAAAATTCTCCCAGTACTGTTTCCGCCAATGACCATTCTAATCATTGTCGCATTGGCATAACTACCGACGACAATGTGCAGTGGTGTTAGGTCTAGAATGACCTCCATTGCTGCTGTTGGACATGTTGTCATGGCACCTGTGATGCAGATACATGCCAGTCTTTGTACTTTGCACAGGTTTTACCTTGCTGTACGTTGCTCTAGTTTTGTATACCAAGCAACTACTCTATAAGTAATCATGGGTCTTACTATCATGGTATACATCCAGCGCAAAATGTTAGGGGCACGTGTTCACCCCTCTTGTTTCAAGAGATCGCTTGACCACCTTGTGAGGTATATTGTCAAACGCCCTGGAATGTCCAAAAAGGCACAAAGTGCTGTTTCTTTGCTATCCAGGCTTGCCTCTATTAGCTCAGTTAACTGGTACAGAGCAGTTTCTGTGGATCTGCCCGCTCTATATGCATGCTGACTATCGTGCAGTGGTTTAACCTGTAGATGATTTACTATAATGTGGTTGTTCACTACTTCGTTTAATATGAACGATGTGAGACTAATAGACCTAAATGATTTGGGGTTAGCCCAGTCAGTTTTGCTTATTTTAGGTACGAAGATAACTTTCGCTCTTCTCCAGATGGTTGGTATATATCCCATCGCTAAGCTGCTTTTTGTAATGTTTAATAGATGGAGTGTAGCTATTTCCTGACCCTTCTTTAGAAGGGCAGGAAAAATCCCATCTATTCCTGCTGTTTTATAAGGCTGAAAGGTGTCAATAGCCCATTTCAGTTTTTGTTCTGTTATTGCTAGCTTGGCCGTCTCCCAGTCTTCCCTGCGAGAATTGTGGGGTTCGGTCGGAGCTACTTGCGTATCAATAGATATGCTACTTGGAAAGTGTGTATGAAGTAGGAGGTTAGCTCTCTTTTCATCTCCTTCCGTGTAGCTTCCGTCAGGTTTCTTAAGTGCCATGTTGGGGATGGGCCCACTCTTGGCCATAGCTTTGTGTAGCCTAACTGCATAAGTAAGACTTCCTTGATACAGGTTGAGCTTGTTTAGGTAACACTTGACAGCCATGTGTCCTGTCAAGAGGCCTGTTGCATGGCCTGTTGTAATCCGCATTAGCGTAATTAGCAATTTATTCTTGGGTGTGCCTGGGGGTCCTGGAGTTGAGCCCAGTGGGGGCCTAGGGCTTTGGTTGAAATGAAAAATAATTTTAAAAAACACATTTTTTGAATAAAATGTTTACATGAATTTCTCTATTAATAAATTTCATAGACTTGGTTATCCAACCGTGGTATCCAACTACGTTATCTCGTAGATTATTTAAATACCTATAAATTTTCTAAAAAAATAAAAATTGACACATTTTTTGAACACAACAAAATAATATTAACTAAACAACATTAGAAAACGTAATTTTTACTACATTACAAGCAAATAAAAATTAATACGTAGCCAAGAGTCTTAATTCATGATTTCTCTGGAGGTGCCCAGCAGTACCTGGGGGGGCGGGGGGGCGCACCTCCGGGCGTCCCTATAGTTACGCCAATGGTAATCCGCACTTTATTCCTACTAAGCATTAGCAGTTCTTTTGCAGTTTTTGAGCTAGGTCCTTGGATAAAAGCCTTGCGGTGCCTGTCCCCCTGTCTGTTTCTCCAGTGGATGTTCTGCTTTTCCCTGATCCAGAGTTTTAGTGCACTACGGGCCATACATTTGGGTATTCCCAGTACTGGCTCTGGACCAAGATAGGATGTCCATGATCCTTGCCTAGCTAGCTCATCGGCTTTTTCGTTGCCGTGGATGCCGCTGTGGCCCAGCACCCAGAATAATTTAATTCTGTTCCTTCGAGCCAGAGCTCCCAGTTCCCAGTTCACCTAGGCATTCCCAGACATGATGAGTCAGTTTTACTATTTGATATCATTTTGTCTACGGACTAGTACGGACTTCTCAGAGTAACCATTCTGAAACAAATCCGAATTGAAACGGAAATATATTACTCTTCAAAATACATAGTTAAAAAACATGTTGGTGGTGCATACTAATATCGAAATCGAATTTCTCATATCAAGAAACACCCAGACACCATTTTTTATCCAAATATCGTTAGTTCTGAAATTATTAAGAAAAATCGAAATAAAAATGAAACTTCCACACCCTGTATCTCCAAAATGAAGCATTTTAGGTTAGGATATAAATTTATACGAACTTTTTTATTAATTTTTATCTACTGAATATGTTGCCGAAGTTTCTCGAATGCAATTCGGACCACCCTGTATTTTCTAGCTGGACAGACTACATTGCGACTAATTGAAGCGTATGTTTTCAATTTCATTTTTTTTAGAGTGTGCAATGAAATATTTCCTACCGAACAGTTATTCAAACAACACATAGAAAATCATATGTTTAAAGTATTTGTATGTCATTTATGTAATTTTGAGTTTCCCGTCAAACAAATGTTGCACAATCACTTTCATCATCATTTTGAAGATTCTGTGTTAGACACAGTCATAGATCTGGAAAATGTACGTAAGCTTAAAACCGGACTCGTGTACTTGACAAACATTTGTTATTGGCATGCAGGGTTCGGCAATAGTTCGTCGGGCATCTGTATCTCCTATGGTAATCGCAAACTTTGAGTGACAAGCGATGGCGACAGTGCTGCCAGATTGTGATGGATTTATAAGATGAATCTTAATTTAGAATTGACAAACAAGATATTATTTATTATATCATTTTTTAAAGAGTTTTACGTTTTATTTTTAATTAAATAACTAATATTTTAGTGATTAATTGATTTATTTGTTTTGTAGCTTATTTTACTTATTACATATTGGCAAAAACTAGTCCATTATGAAGATTATTATAAGCGTTATTATGGGTTATTTATTTATTGATGTACATCTTACAACGCCATAAGTGGTAATAACAAGTAAGAGGGTGCTATTACTGCACAAACCAATAATCACAGAATTTAATAAAAATTAACTTTGAAAGTGATATAATGTGCTTATCAATCTCTTATCTTTCTGACTGCAGTCAAGGGTAATAAAGAATCTTTATCGTCAATCGTCACGTTCTCGTTCAAAATAGATTAAAAAACAGAGAAGCTACAAGCTCTTTACTTCGACTATTTAAATGCTTCGGCATATTTTTAACACACAATTTCAAGAAATGCAAATACAAAAACTCGAAAATTTAGTTTTTAAAAGAACTGTTTGTGTTTAAAAGTGAAATTTAAAAAAAAAGACTATGAAAATAGGCAAAAAAAACGAGAATTACTCACAAAGATTCAACAACAACACGATATTATACAAAATAATGACTGACACTATATACTAATTGTCAAATAATAAACGACAACATTGCTGAAAACGGCGCAATTTGACCAACTTAGCGATAATAAAATTCCAATGCCAAATTTTCATTTAGTCAGGTTTATAGACTTTAGTGTCAATGTCGATATGATTGATGACGTGCATCGGAAAATGTTTTGCTATTACTATAATAGAATAAACAACTTAGATATTTTATATAAGTGCAAACCTAAAGTATGTATTAGAATGTATTTCAGGAAAATATTTTAACTTCAACCGGATGATTAAAAAATGTGTGAATTAATCGAGATGTTTTTTTAAAATGAAATATACTCTGAATGAATATTATTGCATTGTTGGATTCCCTTTCTGATCACTTTACACAAATAAAATATTATTAAATATGTTTTGATAGTTTCAGAGATATTAATAAATAAATAAAAAAAAATAGTCTTTTTTTAAAATAAAATATTAAAAATACAATAAATTTCTTGAAATGAAAACTACAGGGTGCTACAAATTCGAGGTACGAGCATTGGTATCTCGGAGACGGTAAAAGATACGAAGATGGTTAAATTGGGGCAAAGTTGCGCCTTGGGATGTTTGCCAATATGCTATCAAAAAAGTTTCAAATATTTCAAGGATTGCTGAGTTTTTTGAGAAAAACGTATTTTTTATATAAGTGCAAACGTATTTAAGAAAAACGTATTTTTTTTGGAAAATAAATTTTATTTTTTCCTGACGTTACTTTTTAGAAAATCAAAAAACTAATTGAACATTCTTATAGCCACTTTGTCAGGGCTATCTGATAGTATTTTTAGATTTTCAAATTATCTGATAATTTGTGAGATGCATAGGTCAACTTAATTTTTTTAAATACGGACCTGCATTTTTTATTTGAGGTTTTGAAAGAATTTAGTCTCCTGAGTACAACGATATGCCACACTTTATATTTTTTTTTGTTTTAGAGTTTATATATTTTTTAGTTTTTTTGTTTAGAGTTTTAAGTATCTATCATAACCAAACCAAACAACAAAACTATTTAATTATTATTTAAAATAATTTCAAGCCCGACTCTAATTCTTTTAAATTATTTAACCTGATTATATTCATCGCAACAATAAGGAATATCGAGTCAATAGACAGATTTAAATAAATAATATCCAGGTCAGCAATTTAAAATATATTATTTTTAATTTTTTTTTGTTAATTTGGAATCTCAATGTATGATCTAATAATATGCATAACATTAATCCTAGTTATTATAAATATATCAACTTCAACAAACAAATTTCTAATGCTCTACATGTTCGAAAGGGTTTATTTAATACCACCCTCCCTATCGCACACATTCATTTTTCGTTCAATTTTATGTATAGCCCTTCCAACAGATCTTATTATACTTCCGAATGCATTTTGTACTTTTTGTTGTAAATGTTGGGGTATATTGATTTCACTTTTACAAATGACGTCAAGACACAGGTTCTGGAACCTTGCTGGCCATTATGCTGCTCCACCATTCCCAATCCATCTTCCGAGGAAATTATTTTATTGTTTATATTATTTATTTTATATTATTTTTTGTATTTGATTTTCCTCATTCAATGATTTATTTCACGTAAAAGTTTTCAGTTTTAAAACTCCTCAATATTGTAACAATTAAATATTTAAAAAAAAACGGAGCCGAACTTGAAATTAGTTTAAATAAATTGTGTTCAAATTTCCGAAACAAAAAAAAATAATTAAGTGTGGCATATCATTGTACTCAGGAGGCGGAGTTCTTTCAATATCTCAAATAAAAAATGCAGGTCCGTTTTTAAAAAAATTAAGTTGGCCTCTGTATCTCACAAATTAACAGCTACTTTGAAAATCTAAAAATACTATCAGATAGGCCTGATAAAGTTGCTATGAGAATATGCAATTAGTTTTTTGATTTTCTAAAAAGTAACGACAGGAAAAAATAAAATTGATGGTAAAAAAATCGTGGGTGTTTGGGAAGGCTTGGAAGGAAACAATGTTTTTGCGACGTTTCGCGACTTTATTGTCGCTTCTTCAGGCACTATAGGAGAAGCCTGAAGTGCCTGAAGAAGCGACAATAAAGTCGCGAAACGTCGCAAAAACATTGTTTCCTTCCAAGCCTTCCCAAACACCCACGATTTTTTTTATCTGCATATTAACTACTGGGAACTAACAATAATCATAATGGAATAAAATTGATTTTCAAAAAAATCCGTTTTTCTTAAAAAACTGAGCAATCCTTGAAATTTTTGAAATTTTTTTGATAGCATGTTGGTGAACATCCTAAGGCGCAACTTTGCCCCAATTTAACCATCTTCGTATCTATTACAGTTTCCGAGATACCAATGCTCGTACCTCGAATTTGTAGCACCCTGTATACTATACGTTACGGTGGTGTGGGAGGCATGGGCCTTAAAATCTATAAATTGGTTTAAATATTAGGCCACCCCGAAAATAAATTCCTGTATCCGCCCCTGTTTCTAAGTTGTTTATTATAGGAACTACAGAGGCCCGACGCACTATCGACGGACCTTGTATGCCAATAACAAATGTTTGCCAAGTACACAAGTCGACAGAGCGCACCATAATACGATTGGCAAGTATTAATGTAGTGTAAATATACAATATTAGCAGGCATCATGTGTTATATTACTGCATGGATATTACTGCAAAAATACTGTTAAGGTGCGTCCACATTGCTCGTGATCCTGCTCGCGCTCTTGCTTCTGATTGTGCTTGCGTTGCTTGCGCTTCTCGTTTGTCGTGTTTCTCAAGCTCTTTCGGCTCGCAAGCAACGGCGGCGGCGTCCACATTGTAATGTAGTGCTTGTGTTCATGCTGTTCGGTTATGGATGATACCCAAGTATTTTTAATAGCGGCTGCTAGTGCGATCATTATTGCAAAACGAAGGAGGCAAAGAGAAAAAAAGGCGATATTGGATGTCTAATAATTTCAAAAGTAGATCCCAGCACAGTGAAAATAAACATCTACGCGATTTACAAACAGACAGAATGTTTTTTAATATTTTTTATCGCATGTCCGCTACTGATTTTGAAAGACTTATTAACTTAGTTAAATACAACTTTTAGGAAGTGTATTCCGGTTAAAGAAAGAGTTAAATAAAGATTGGCCATAACATTAAGATTCTTTGCAACTAGAGACTCACATACTACTTTGGGTTATTTATTCAAAGTTTCCAAGCAAAGCATTTTAAAAATAATAAACCAGGCGTATGCCAAAAGATAAATCAAGTTCTCAAAGATCAGATTAAGATAAGTAGGTAATATAAATATATTACTTATATTTATATTGAGTTATATTTTATTAAACGTATATTTAAAATTATTAATCCAAGAATAAAAACAAATATCTGTAATTCTGAACAAAATAAAATACGAAAAATCATGGTAGTATCATCATACTGCAGTAAATATCGGATCCTATGAATGAAACCAAACTAAAAACTTAAAAAACAACATCGCAAACTGCTCGAGCGCTCAAACCGCGCCGTAAAGTGTGCTCGTATGGCTCCCAAGCATCTCTTTCATGTAGCCGAACACTCGGAACAGGCATTTTATGAGATCGCAAGCACGTGGAGCACCGTAAGCGCCGTGAACATCTCGCTCCGACTGTTTGCCATGTTTTTCGTGTCTCACGTGTTCGTTCGGCCTGCTCGCGAGCAATGTGGACGCAGCTTTAGAGATTTTATGTATCGATATATTTAAAAATACGATAACACACTTAACTAACTTTTAAACGACAAAAAAAACTAGAGTTCACCACTAAAAATAATAAAAAATATAACAATACCTATTATTAATTTTCGATTATTTCTGATGGATTTTTGCCTTGATCGCCTTCTTATATAAGACCACCAAATGGAACATCTGCTTCGTCCCAGTGGATTATAGATATCTCTAAAGTCTTTAGATAATACACAGGATGCTTCAAAAATCGGGAGAATACTTCTTCCCCCGATTCCTCGCGTAAAAATAAGATATATTTTTTATATCAAAGTAGGTCCGATTCTCTTTGTTTTGTAGCTTTCTAGCTTTGTAGATAAAGTTTTATATTTTTTCGAAATATAATTTTCTTCCAAGTTCGTTTAGCCATTCGAATAAAATTTTAAGGGTAAAAGTTACTATAAGTACGACATTTAGCATTACATTTTAATTAACTTTTTTTAAAGATTTCTAGTTAATATTGTTGAGTTTTGAGAACATTTTTGTGATTTGATATAAAAAAATCGCTGTAAGGTATTATAAGGGTATTACCATAGTAGAAGGCGGCTTTCCCTTCTATTATGGTAGGGTTTCCATAAAGGCTTTTAGAAATTCCGGACAAGTAAACTCAGAAATCCGGACAAAATCCAACTGTAACTGTAAAATATTTTACAATTTTATTAGGTTTCCCGGACGCTTTTCCAAATCCGGGCCGGACCGCCCCGTACACTTTAAAAATCCCTTCGTAAATCCGGTCGTATGGAAACCCTATATTATAGTATTACCACAGATTATACAGATTATAAACTTATCGTCAAAAGCATTGTTTTTCGTGGTTCCAATTTTCGGAGTCGCGCACTAGTTAGGTTACTAGTTTGCGCACAAGCACGCCCACTTAAGGCCTCTAAAATTGTGCACAGCGCCTGACCGGCCTTATGACCGGCCCAGTTATTACGCTGTTTAAACGGGAGTTTATTTTTGCGCACAAGAACATTTACTCGTTTGCTCATCGTCATAAAAAATAATTTTCGTACCACGAATTAGGGACAAGATTTTTATCTGTATACTTTTATAGGATACCTAATCTGTGGTATTATTGTAGATTAAACCTGCACCAATAACTAACTAATAAGTAACTGCGCCAGATTGAATTTCAGTTTTCGATACATTTTTCATAAAACGATAGGTCGTCATTATAAACTGCTGAAATGAAATGTTTTATTTTAAATTTTTAGGACTATAACCTAACAAGATGTTTTCCGACCACTTTAAATTATCAGACGAGTATTAACGACATACTGTATTATTTAAGAGAAGGACAGCAAGGTGTTATGTAAAATTGCTTTACTCTGCTCTGGGATAACTAAATTGCTACAAGGAAACAACTACATTTCAATAGTGTACCTACAGAGAAAAAGTAAGCTACATTTAGTTTACAAGATGTTATAAATCGTAAACAGTGGTTGTATAAATAGCATATAAAATAAGAGTGTTTCATATTCTACTGGGAATCTACCTATGCGCTATACAGGGTCGACCTGTATTCCGGAAACTTCGGTAGCATATTCTGCAATAAAAATAAGTAAAAAAGTTCGTATAAATGTATGTCCTAAATTGCTTAGTTTCGGAGATACAAGCTGTAGAAGTTTAATTTTTATTTCGATTTTTTCTAAATAATTTCTGAACTACCGTCAATATTTGAATGAAAATTGGTGTCTGCGAGTTTTTTGACATGAGAAATTGGATTTTGATGTCAATATGACTCCTATTTGTAGGGGGCGCCACATACATGTGTTTTAACCTTTGGTTTTAACTGTTTTGAAGAGTAATAACTTTTTGTCCGTACCTGTGTACACTACTGAGTGAAAAAAATACATTTCTGTGATTTTTTTACGTAAAAAATGTCTCTTGGTAAAAATCGCTACGAGCAACCGGTCTCAAGATATTTAGAAGGGAACTAGTCAATACATGTAATTATTGAAAAAAAATAAACATGTTGAGTAGATAGTTATTTGACTGAAATGATAAATGTGGGAGCTTTTTATTTTTTTTAAATTAATCATAAATTTTTCTTGAAAAAAAATTATGATAAAACAGTTTCTGTTGAACTTTTGACAAAAAATCAAATCAACAAAATGAAAATCATCAATTTGAAATCAATCATTTCAAATTTATGATTTCAATCTAATAACTATTTAGTCAACATGTTTAATTTATGTCAATGATGAGAGGTATCGGTAATTTCGATTCCAAATATCTCGAGAACCAATATTGGTACCTAGCGATTTTTACCAAGAAACCTTTTTTACGTAAAAAACGTCGCAAATGTATATTTTTTTAATCAGTAGTTTTATACAGGTACGGATGAAAAGTTATTACCCTTCAAACCAGTTAAAAATATGTATGTGGCGCCCTCTACAATTAGGAGTTACATTGAGATACAAATCAAATTTCTCAATGTCAAAAAACCTCCAGACACCAATTTTTATCCGAATATCGACGTTACTTCAGAAATTATTATTTGGAAAAAATCGAAATAAAAATGAAACTTCTACACCCTGTATCTCCAAAACTTAGCATTTTAGGACACATATTTATACGAACTTTTTTACTTATTTTTATCTCCAGAATATGCTGCCGAAGTTTCCGGAATACAGTTCGGACCACCGTATATTATGAAGCAAAACTTTAAGTCAGAATTTTATAGCTGGGATTAATATTGTATTTAAATCTTCTAGCTATAGAAGCCTAAAATAATGGCACAATTGTTGAAAATATAAATAGAATATTTGTTTTAGTTTCATAACAGTATTAACAATAACCAACTAAAATTATTTATTTACCTATTGGTAAGTAGGTACCTACATATGCATTTAAAGGTTAAATTAATTTTTTTGTTCAATAGTTTTCTGGAATCTACTCTAAAAAAACAAACACATTAATTTTTAAGATAATTTAAGTTGTGAATAATTCAAGTCCAGTAATTTAAGTACCTCTTGGTAATCATTGAGTGATTTAACAACACTATATTCTTTATGGGTATTTCGCCACTGCACTGCAAGAAAATCTACAAAATAAAATAATTATTTTTTGTAAACACTTCTGCGTTAAACCTAAACGGACGCTGCTTGTCAGAAGTTATGTTTATAGTAATACAAATTTGCCTAACAAAGAAAAAAAAATGCTTAACATTTCGGAAAGTTATCTCTTTCCGTCGTCGGAAGCAAAAAAATACAAAGAATAAAGAAAAAACTATTTAAAATATTTAAATTCAACTATTCGAGAACACTTTACTTTTTTAAAACAGATACCGTTACCGATACCGTCTACAAGAAACCGTTGACGTTCTAATAATCTTGATTTTTTTTGTTTCTTGTAGACGTATCTGTTTTAAAAAAGTAAAGTGTTCTCGAATAGTTGAATTTAAATATTTTAAATAGTTTTTTCTTTATTCTTTGTATTTTTTTGCTTCCGACGACGGAAAGAGATAACTTGCCGAAACGTTAAGCATTTTTTTTCTTTGATAGGCAAATTTGTATTACTATAAACATAACTTCTGACAAGCAGCGTCCGTTTAGGTTTAACGCAGAAGTGTTTACAAAAAATAATTATTTTATTTTGTAGATTTTCTTGCAGTGCAGTGGCGAAATACCCATAAAGGATTTTTTTGGAAAGATGAATCCGCCACATAGGTATAGACATTTTTTAACACTATATTGTGTCTACAATAATGATAATGTGTAATTGTAAATTATTTTTTATTATTTACTTAATACATAATGATGGAAAAATAAACTTTAATTTAGCTTTATTTCAAGAAACCGAAAGATTTTTTTATTTTTAAAACTGTTACCTATATGTTTAGTTAATTCTTAAGTATTAAGTTAATCAATAAAAATATTTTTAAATTGGGTTAGAAATATAATAATATAATAAATGTGTTATTCTCCTCATAGGTATAGATTGGTTAGTATTATTTACAACGTATGTATTATTTGTATTAGCATAAAATATATATTTTTTTTTAATTTTCAAGTCATACTTTTTTATTCTATCCTCTTCAAAACTAAACATACTAAAGTAGGGCTATAGTCTAAGTAAAATTATTCGTAAAAAAAATGCTTTTCCCAGATATGGTAATGAGATGAGCCACCCTCATTCCATTAGAAAAAAATGAGATGTGAATAAAAATACGATTGGGGCATCTTTTAACCGGCCAGAACAAGACTTGAAAAACATTAAGGCTGCCATTCACTAGCCGATAAACGAGCAATCCGATCGACCGATCTAGTCGCTTTCGATCAAATTGTCGAAAGCTCTCCAGGTCATTATAGTACGAGAGCTAGCAACGTCGGAAAAACAAGTATTTTAAGACGTCTGGCTCTTTGATATATCTTTTAATATGCTCTCTAGAACAGCATGCGGCCCGTCTGGCTCCCGGTAAACGTTGCGTTCCCTACTGCGCATTGAAAGAAGATCCTATACTTTTATTAGTCCTTTAAATTCTAGTATTGAATATAAATCGAACATGTCTCCATAGCGCAGTGCGTAGTTTCCGACCACGAACAGATGATATTTGTTTTTTTTAATCACCAGATTTATTTAATACTTTACTCAGAATATAAACGAAAATAAAATAAAAAAAACTCTTTACCCTGACCCGGATTCGAACTCTGAATCATCGGTTTGTGGTCGGAAACTCTACGCACTGCGCTATGGAGACATGTTCGATTTATATTCAATACTAGAATTTATAGGACTAAATTAATAAAAAATATAGGATCTTCTTCCGATGCGCAGTAGTGAACGCAACGCGTATCGGCACCCAGACGGGCCGCATGCTGTTCCAGAGAGCATAGTAAAAGATGTATCAAAGAGCCAGACGTCTTAAAATACTTTCTCGAAAACGTTGGTAGCTCTTAGACTATTAGTGCGTCATTTCAATCAAATTGAAAGTGATATTGTGGTTGTCAAGCAATCTTGATTTGCAGTGCAGTGCTAGCAATTTAAAGAGGTTGTACGAGGATCGCCCAATCAGTGGACGTCGGGAACCAGGTTGCTCAACTATTTTTATTATTTGGTACGTGAACAGGAGAGTGTCGGATATTCTCGATTAATTTCCAGAAAAATTGATTGACAAATTGTTTGAATGTCGTCTGATAAATGGTCCGTTACAACCAAATTTCCAAATAATTTAGAAGCAATTTTATCGCTCAACTTGATTGCTACCAAATGGCCCAGTGAATGGGGGCCTTTAGACGATCAAATCTATTTTTCAAAGGCTCCTTGATTAAAAATTAGTGTTTTAACACAGCTATGGCACTCTCACTAAACAACCGCACAAAGTTAAGTATAAAAGTTATAGGGTTTTTAAATATCTATTAGCGGGAAATAAATTTAAGTATACAGGGTCGGTCATAAAGTAGTGGCACATCAAAGTTTATTTCTTAAAAGGAACCCCCTGTATATTATTGCATATTTTGGTTCTTCCTTCAATTCTAAGCAAAAATCGAGATACACGCAGTGTACCTCAAACCAACCGTTTCCTGAGTTATTGACATTAAGAAAATATCACTTAAACAATTCGATTTAATTAATTTCGATGTGTTCGGTTTCACTTAACGATGCCATTCTGCCGAAACTGTGATACTTAATAATATCGGAAAGCGGTAGTAAGCCCTTTATGTCCCTTAAGTTTTGAAGAAGGTAAGTTTTGTTGATGTAAATAATAACTGTTTATATATTTATAATTCTGCTACGGTACAGTATTCTTTATCCGTTTCGCTGTAAATGGCATTCAGCACGCAGCAGCGCAGTGCTAAACTAAATCTCGGAATTCTCGGACAGGCTGACGATAACGCCTGCTACATCTCGGACATGTTTTGTGCCACGAAATCGCCCATAAGCAGGGGTGGATGGAGAAGTGGAAACCGGCCTGGGAAAAACAGGCAACCGGCCCAAATCCACAAAAACAAAATGACCATAACAAAGAAACATATTTTATTTATTAATATTATAAGTACAGATTAGGTATCCTATAAGTATACAGATAAAAATCTTGTCCCTAATTCGTGGTACGAAAATTGTTTTTTATGACGATGTGCAAACGAGTCAAATTTCCTGTGCGCAAAAGTAAACTCGCGTAAAATAACAATAAACAGCGTAATGGAGAGATATCGCTAAACCGAATAGACGTTAATAAGGCCAGGTGTTATTTCCTTTACGTGAGGTGGTATTAACTCTCTTTATTTATAGTTATCGGATCGGAAAGAATTCTGATCGCGTCGCGTCCGCTATTTAAACTTAACCAAACTTTGAATATAAAACTTTGAAATTGTTTTGTTTACTAGGTATTTTAAAACTTAAGGGCTAAAATGCTTATTTCCAGTGCTTTATTGTTCAACGTCTGCCAATGGGTTTAGGACAACAAGCAACACATTCTCTTAGAAGGGCTAAGTCGTCATCTGCTGTAAACCTAAGACTCTTTATAGGTTCTTTAGTATTGGAAGAGGTGGAATCTATATTTTGGGCCATATTTATTTAATTAAAACTAATCTCAGCTACTTAAATATCAAATTACCTAATAAAACTAAAGCAATAATTCAAAACAATTCAAACATAACCTAAAATAAAAGATCTCGCCGGCCGGCTCCGGTTGTCAAATACCCGCACATGCCCATTTAAGTAATTTTTAAACGTTATCAGAGGTTATTTAGAAAGAGCGCTTGGTGTAATTGATCCGCAAATTACGTCAGGCGGTAACGTTATTAGCGGGTGTTGCGTTGACTCGCGCATATCGTAACCATGATAAGGTACGCGTTAATACTGGATGACGCTATTCGGTTTTCCGATCTCTCTATAATAATTGTGCCGGTCAGGCGCTGTGCACAATTTTAGAGGCCATAAGTGGGCGTGCTATGTGCGCAAACTAGTCACCTAACTAGTGCCCGATTCCGAAATTTGGAACCACGAAAAAACAATAAACAAAAAACAAAGATTATAATCTGTATAATCTGTGTTATAAGTAAGGGTGTTTTCGCTCGTTCGAAAAAGCTCTTTTGCCTCCGGTTTAAAAAAAAATAAATTGTCTTGATCAAAATTTTCGTAAAGACCAATACTGGGTCGGACATCTGAATTTTTACTACAAAATGGTTGAGTTTTACAGGGTGGTTCTACCGCTTTATTTCCATTATCGATAACGGTAATTTGATCTTGAATAGGCTACGATTTTGAGTCACGATTTTGAGAAACTTTAAGACTTCCTGATTCATTCAGTTCAGCTGACCCAATCCTCTATGAAATACATTACTTTTAGCTTTTCGGGTATATACTTTCTTACACATTGTAGAAAGATATTCTCTCTTTTCTGCTACAGCAGCAGCCTCCTCGTGTACACGTGTTCTTAACTGAATGAACCGCGGTGGCCATTAAAACTGCAGCATTTTTTAAGTTATTATATAGTTCTTATAACGAAAATTTTCCTCTATACTTTTCTACATTTGGCATCTTGTATGATAATGCCATCACTCAAACGAAAAAAACTTAAGCAATACCTAGGCAGTGGATATAAATGTGTTCTGATATAATGTTATGTTACAATCCATAACAAGAATATTTGGATTTTCGAGACATATTAATATTTTATTATCTAATCTGGTTTAAAACGTATTTAACTCTTCTCTGCTGTCTCAGTAATTTTTAGAAAATTCATTTTTGCAACATTTTAAACAATTTAGACTTGGCTTTTAGTCCGTCCCCAATTCAAGCCATGCATAGATATGTTTTCTCCGCCAACCGCAGAATTCGCGTCAAATTCGTCTATCTTTTTACAAAGGGAAGCTCGAAAAATATTGCACCGAGGCCCCCAGTTGTCAAATTACTACCGTATTCTTAGTATACATTTAGATCGAGACTATTTAAATTTACCTAATGCAATTCATTCTTTTTTTTGCTGCCAGGCAGTCATATTTATTAGTTATTAATAAAAGAATAATCGGTAAAACTATACAGGATGTAGATCTTAATTAAGTGCAAATATTTTCTGGGGTGGTATATTTCGACCCCAGGAACACGTCTATGAGGTTTTTTGCAAAAAAAGATGTTAAAAATCGAGCATTTTCTTTTAAATTTTCCTGTATATTTTAGAAAACTTTTTAGAACTTCCTGTTCACCGCAAATTTTCCCACGGTATAGTTTCTTAATCTCTGATATTACGGCACTAAAAGAGATGCAAATACCGAAAAATTGATGTGGTTCAATTTTTTTTACATAAATCTATTTTTTTTTAATTTCCAGACTTTAATAACTCGATTGGACTTATTTGAAACTCGATAAAGAGAATATATTATGTTTATTTTATTGAGATCTACGAGCCCTGAAAATATTTGCACTTATAGACTCACCTTGTATAATAAACATTTTCAAACAGATGATTATTAAAATTATAAGTGTCCCAGAGAAAGACATTTTACAATAGTTTTACAAATTGGTGTTTATGTTAAAAAGCAACTGATGATTATACTGATGAAAATGGATTAGTTAGTTATGGATCACTAAGGATCTTATGTCACTTTAGTTAGAAGATTAACCATTTAATTTTTGCTAATCCAATCTTTTGAGCTCTGATCGGGACCGGCCCATCTTTCCACCGGCCCACCGGGAATTTTCCCGTATCCACCCCTGCCCATAAGGTTGTGCATCTTCTTATTTCTTCAATCAACGTTATTACCCAGTATAATAATAAAATATTAGTCAATAGCTGTTTGCATTTCATTGTAGTTTATTTAAATTTTATGACTGCGAACAGCAATGTATTTTAATGTTTCATGATTAATTAACCCTCAATATTCCTACATGTTATTCATGAAAATTGCATGTAGTAAATTGCAGAATTCTTAAAGATTTTTTAAAGCTTCCTTAAAATTAAAAATAATAATCCTTTATTTTAAATACGTCTATTTGTACAGAAATACTTATACAATTTCAATTGTACTAATATCAACAAATTAAACACACAAGTAAAACAAATTGTTAATATGGCTCCGTTTGATAACCTAATGTTTAACGGTAGAACTTACTTCTTTTCATATGAAAGACGGAGCCAACAAGGAAAAACTATTAATAGTAGATACAGGAACAATCACAGTCGCACAAAAATATATTTTTCATTTTTAGAATTTAACATATATATTATAAATTCTACAAATAAAAATTGAACTGTAAAATCAATTTTATTACACACCGTGAAATGAAAATCCAAACTATTTTTATGTACATATAACATATGGAGCTTTATATAAAAAGAAAGTGAAAACATTTTAAACTCACTCTAACTCTACAAAATTGAATTATATAAAAGTTAAAGTCAGTCTCACTAAATTTTGTAGCTTTTACAACTATTAGCCTTTAGTGATATTGCCAAAACTATTTGAAGCTAGCATAAACTACAGTTTTTTTTACTCCAGGAATTAATGTGCTTTTACTTATGTAAGTTTATAATAAATTAGTGTAATAATACTAAAAATCTTATAAAATCAAATGAATTTTACTCTTTGTTTTTTTTAGTGTTTATTACTAATGAAATATTTTAATATTCTTGAAAGTTGATGAAAGTCATCAAAATGTTATAATAAGTACAAATCTTGATTAAAAAAAATAATTACTTTCTGTTTTTAGATTCAATATGTAAAATTTTCATTTTAATAAATTTCATCATCTTTGCCATGAAAGTCACAAATGTATTATAATAAATATCTTTACTGTTTCTTTTCCTTATCTTCCTTGTTTACCTTCTTTTTGATTTTCTTTTTTTCTTTTTTAGTTTCATCTTTCACTTCAGTAGTCTTATCATCTTGGACAGTTTGGTCATTAACGCTATTTTCTTGTTTTTCACTTCCACAGTCTGGTTTCCCGGATTCTGTGTTATTTTTTTCACCTTCCACACTTTGAGTGTCAGGTTTAACCTTACTATTTCCTTCAACATCCATTGTTTCTTGTATATTGGACGGTTCATTTGTAGTGGGTTTCAAACCAGGTTCTTTAGTAATGTCCTGACTTTTATTTACCACTTCAGTAGTTTCACTGGAATCTATGGATTGATTAACATTTTGAGATTGTACATTATTTAATTCCTGCGAATTATTTTCAGTTTGTGCACTTTGGTTAGTATCCATTTTTTCATCACCCTGAGAGGATTGTTGATCAACATCCATTTTTTCTAGATTGGGTGCAGCATTTTGTGCTGCCTTGGATTCCAAAAGACTTATTGCTCTTTCAATACATTTTATCGCTTCTTTTCTAGCACTTCTTATGGCGTCTTGACCTTGAGTATCAATATTGTCTAATTTAAGTAGATTTCTTGTAAGCATTTCATCTAGATATAAATAGTTTTTATCTTTAGGCATCCCCTTAAAGGCTTCTACTTGATTTAAAAGGCTGGAAACGTCTTTCTGAATCACCTGTATCTGCTCAATGGGACCCGCCGGCTGTTTGGGAGGTTGTTGTTTAGGAGGCGCTTGTGGCGCTTCTGCTGTTTTAGGAGGTTCATGCTGTTCTGCTGCTTGAGGCACGTTTTCCTGTCGAAATTGTTGCTGGTGAGGTTTAGCATTTGCAAATCTACTTGGACTTTCGCTTCTACGAAAGCCAAAATCTTCATCTGGAAAACTGTCGAAAGGTGACTGAGCCCAATCACTGGGAAACCTTGAATGGATTCCTCCTCGGTGATGACCGAATTGCTCAGGATCTGCTCTTGGACTAAAAATGCGTTCAGGCTGTGGACGAGGAGATCCACCAAAGATAACTTCCGGTTGCGGCTGACCAGTAGACGATGCAAAGCGTCTCGGGATTATAGGGTCGTCCCGGCCTACAATCGAATTAATGTTAGTGTTCTGTTACATTCATACTAACCTATTATTAAATCTACCTTCAACATGGATGGGGATAACTCTTTCAGTGCTTCCACTGCTAACGCCTTGCGATTGACCTTTAGTTGCATCTTCATGTCCTTGGTGGCCACCCATTGGTACATGTACAGAGGATGTAAATCTGTAAAAAATAGTAGAAATTGTATTCATTTAATTATATATTTTATTTGTGCAAACATTCTATTAACATTGTCAATTTTTTGGCTCTACTTCCAAAATTGCTAAACATGCAGTTTTTAATATGCCTAGATGGTTGATACTTTGCACTTTAGTTTTACAATAAGTATAGTCTGTCTTTTTTCCCAGGTAAGATTTCGACAGACAATGACAGAGAAAAAAGCAGATGACGTCCATACCAATCTATTTATTTCACTAGAAAAAGTTTATAATATTTTTTAAGTTCACTATGGATGGGTTTATACAGTGTGCTACAAATTCGGGGTACGAGCATTGGTATCTCGGTAACCGTAATAGATACGAACATGGTTAAATTGGGACAAAGTTGCGCTTTGGGATGTTCACCAAGATGCCATCAAAAAAGTTTTAAAATTTTCAAGGATTGCTGAGTTTTTTTTGAAAAGAAAACGGATTTTTCTGAAAATTAATTTTATTTTTTCCTGTCGTTACTTTTTAGAAATCAAAAAACTAATTGCACATTCTCATATCCACTTTATTAGGGCTATCTGATCTGATCTGATCTGATAGTGTTTCTAGATTTTCAAATTAGCAGATAATTTGTGAGATACAGAGCCCAACTTAATTTTTTTAAATACGGACCTGCGTTTTTTATTTCAGATTTTGAAAGAACTCGGTCTCTTTGAATTCTGGTTGCCTTGACTTGGGGGTAATTATATTGATTTAAGTCATTTTACTGACTTAACTTGCAGATAATCATGATTTAAGTCAAATATATAGACTTAAACGATTTAACGTTAAATTGATTTAAGCCTTTACAAAAATAACTTGACTTGAAATAAAATGAATTAAAGCAAAGACTTAAGACCCAGCTTAAGACTTAATCATTTGATCGTTATGTTGAAATTGACTTAACATTTAAATTCATGATGTCTTGAGACTTAAGATCTAAGTCTTTTTAAAACTGACTTGTTGCAGCCCTGAATCTAATAATAAATCTATACGCATATTGAAAATATGGACCTTAACACCTCGCCCATCATTATTAGTCGCCATCGCCATGGCGAATTGAGGAAAACTTCGATAATTTCTTTTTAAAAAAAACCCTAATGGTAATTAAGTCAAAAGGTAAAAAAAACACTTATATAGTCTGTGAAACGAATAACTTTGAATTTGACAGTTCCCGCGGGCTTTTCTAGTGTTAATTTTATTAGATTAGCAAATGTTTCTTTGTTTTTGTTGTCTCTAGAAATGTCCAAAGCTGATGACATTTTACTTTTGACAATTATGATATTTCGTGTTGATTTTTGCAAGAAGAGGAAGAACTGTCACTTGTTTTATTATTTTTATTTCAGGAAAGTAAAAAGAGTTACCTATCTGATTCGTTCAGGCACTCAATTTAAAGAATATCAGTAACTTATTTGACAGAGGGATTTTATATTTGCCATGTTGGTAAAAAATAACGGTTAAAATTCAAAGTTATTCATTTTATAGACTATAAATAAATGAAGCATGAATCTTGTGTATTGAGGGGTAATCAATGTTCTACATACAATAATTAAAATTTTTCAAGAAATGTCTTCAAAGCAAAACAGTTGTAGTCAAAATATTTACGACAATATATGTTAATATGTAAGTAATATCAACTAGTTTTCCTATAACATGCTATATCAACTATAAATATGAACAATTATATTACAGATAAATAAAAAAAATCAGTTACATATACAATTACCTCTTATTTTCTGGAGGGGCCGACATAGATCTTTGATTTCTGTCATAAGCTGCCTCGTCAAGGGGTTGTTTTTGACCCAGGTCAACGGTATTACTCTGTTGGATTGGACGTCCTAATAAATAATAATAAATAAATTTAATAATAATTGTGTGTGCACTATGTGCGCATATTTGAAGTGAAACTTCTTACTAACAGCTATTAAATTGAAGGATATATATTTTTTATGAATGATTTTCATAAACGTAAAAAATAGAGCTAATATAAAACCCTATACTATTCTAGCTTTATAATTTTATAATGTTTTTTTTTTAATTTTTATGAAAAAACGATAATTCTATTAACCGGCAGGTTAGCTATGGCTATTAAACCAAAATACTACTACCTACATATATCTCTGACTATTACTAACTGCTACTAACCAACAATTTGTTTTGTGTAGTCTGTGGTCTGTTTTTGTTTAAATGTTTTATTGATTATTCATGTTGGGGATTTATTTTTAAATTAATGTTAATCGTTAGGCAACCAGTATTTCTTTCACATAATCAAAATTGTCACTCTAAATTTTACATAACCAAATAGGCATGTTCCAAAAAAATAAAAATTCGCAAATAAATCATTGTATTGCATAGATTAAGTCTCCATTACTTACAATACATAGGAAATTAGGAAAAATTCCATGATATCATTTTAGAAATTAAATTATAATTTCAAACTTGAACATTCCCGGTTGAGTTGTGACGTACATAGCCTTCACCAATCACGTTTCAGATCGTAGAAAGGGAAGTGTCATATCATATGTTGGTAAGACTGATTGCCTGGCTCATGCGTATCGGGCGGAGCCATTTTGGATTTTGTTATTATTGTTCTTCGTGCTTTTCAGTTCAGCGGTAAATTTTCTTGGTTATAACATTTAATTTTATCTAAATGGCTCAAAACTATGAAAAAACTTTTTCGGATCATTTTCGATTGGTGACGGAGTATATGGTGGACAGTTTTTATATAAACAATTTAAAAAACTTAAGTGCTGATTCGATTGGATACGTTCAATAAAAAGAGGGCTTCTGTACAATAAAACAAAAAGTACACCTGAACATTATGTGACTGCAATGGTAAAAGTGTACAAAAAGTGGAGGGAACTAAATTTTTAAGCTGTGCAGCTTAACACTGGTGATTTTTAAATTATAACTAAATATGTAGGTTTTTATTTATCTATTTTAATTTTAGGTGGCATGTAAACATTATGTCATACCCCTGTATATGAATTTTTAAAGTAGCTCAACCTAAGACGTTTATGGATGTAAAGCACCAGATGGCGGGGCGTATTTCACAGTCATTTACTACAGAAAAATATTTTTTGTTACTCTGAATTTTGAAGCGACCAATAAAAACAGAGAAAATAAAAATCGATAATTTTCGGACTGTGCCAATTGGTTACTAATCGACCAGATACTTTTTTGTCTATTAGATATGCTATAAAAGCTGGTAATTATACAATTCGACCACATTGTAAATACCCGACAGATTCCGCAATTCCGAAGGCCGACGAGGCCGATGTTTTTCACTGATAAGAAAACAAAATGTTTCTTTAGATAATTTTCGAGATATTTTTCTTTCTGAATGCACATTTTAAAGTATTTTATATTCTTTGTCCGCTTGATCTATTATACTGGTCGCACGTATCGAAGTTCTGTTTCTTCTAGTTTTAAACAATGTTCTTATTTCTTTGTAGTTGTAGTGGTTGTAGTGTAAAATTAGATTAATTTTATTAAGTTTAATTATAATGTTTAGTGTAGAATACCAGAAATAGTTTAGTAGTGTTTTTATAATTTATTATTTTGTAGTTAAGTAGTAGGTAAAGGGATAATTTGGTTATTTTTTCTTTGTGTTTGATTAATTAGTAAGTTTGTGATAATTTTTTCAGTGTAAAATACAAGAAGTAGTTGTGTAATGTTTTGATAAGAGATTATATTCGTTTATTTTGTATAGCAGGTGAAGGTATTTGGGTATTTTTTCTTTTTGTTTTTCTTCTAATTGTAGTAATTCTATTAAGTATTGTGATAGATACACTATATCTTCCTTCAAGTTCGTTGAAAAGTGCGTTATCATATAATTTTGGTTTTCTGCTAGTAGAATATACGAAAAAAAAATCTGATCAAATTTATTTTAAATTAAATTAATCGAGTCTTATTAATGAAATTAATCTAGTCAAATAATAATAATAGTTAGTTTCTAAATACTATACAGGGTGAGTTTCCTACGATGTTCTCTATGGGTATCTCGGAAACTACTGGAGATAGAGAGTCGGTTAAATGGGGAAAGAATTGCAATTTTTCGGAGAATTTCAAGGCTTACTAGATATTTCGAAGAAAACACAAATTTTGGCTATTTTAAAACTTGTCTCTAATTCCATTATAATCTACTGTATGATCGAATAAAAACGGCGTCAACGATGGCTATGAAATGAAGATCGTTGTCATTTTATATGTAAAATTATATGTGAAATATCATCGATCGTCATTTCATAGCCATCGCTGACGCCGTTTTTATTCGATCATACGGCATTTTATACAAAAATATTTCAGATAAAAGTTGTATATAATCACATACCTAATGAGTTTGTTTTCTGTTTTTTTTTTCCAAAGCCTGTCATTTTTGACATATGACACAAACATTATGTTTTTTTTAAATGGAAACCCTAGTTGGCCATGACTTCATAAAAAGCGCCATTCTTTAAGCGATATAGGTATAATATGTTTTTTTTCGAAAAATTACAAGTTATAGCCAATTCTTTTCTTTCTTGGCTAATTCCCATACCAATAATACCAAGCCAATTAGTTGGCATCAAAAATATAAAAAGTTTTAAAAAATATCGTAAAATTCGTAAAGCACTCAATTTAGAATAAAATAATCTAAGAATGAAATGATTCTTTTATAAACCTGCATTAAATCAAATTAAAATAGGTATGTAACTTTTTTTTAAATATTAATTAACAGCAATTAGCATTATCATAAATTATAAATAATGTACCAACATATCAAAATAATAATTTCTTTGTTAATACGATTTAGAATTCTTAAAATAACAGGCAAAAATAATCCACAATTTACAATAAAATAAAAGTTTCGCTTAAATTTCTTAATCAGCTGATCAGTATTAAAATTCGCAGAAACCCGGGCTATATTATTACATTACTCTGAGGAAAATAACGAAAATAATCGATATTTTTGACTCCGCCCCGAAAGGTTCACCATTTGTCCTCTAGTTGGCAGCACATTTTGTCTAGTCGGTTGAACAACTTTAAGAATATATAAACAAGGGTCATACATAACAAATAAAATCATGAAAGGTACCACGCTATGATTTATGTAGAATGAAGGAAGATCACATCTTACTTTCTAGCAACTTTTATTGCCATTCTTGTCTTCTCATAATATTTATATTTTATATTCTTGTAGCGGGTTAATTGTAAATTGACTGCCTTGATATTCAGTAAGTCAATATTGTAATTAAAACACTTAATATTTACTTGCCTTTTAATTTAATAAATTTAAAAAATAATAAAATATGTATATGTAATACCTAATGTATGTTTCCTTCAAATCTCCTAGATATATATAACACTCTTAAAAAATAATATTTTATGCGTATATAATAAACATTATTGATCACATATTAATACATTTAATAATAAAACTTTAAAATAAAATATTTACTTGATTTTATGTAAAAAGGCACTGCATCAGAGCCTTATTTTATCTATACAATGTATTTTATTAATAGTCTTCTGAAATAAATTAACCATGAACGTATTTATTAACATTCTTGATGCCAATTGAATTTTTCTAATTGCCTTGTTCATCTTCTCTAACTTTTCTTGGTCAGATAGTAGATGTACTTTTCATGATCAGATTGTATCGTCAAGTATCGTACCTGTTTTATACCATAACTGTGAATACTGTGATTTTCCGGAAATACTATTAATCTTAGTTATCAGGAATTACATTTTTTTCAAATTAATTTTTCCCCACCTTGTTCCAACTGTAAAACAGGCCATTAATGATTTAACAAATCAAACGTAATATAAACTCACAAACTCACTTTGAAATGTTTTGAAATCACATTCATAGCTTAAGAGAAGTTTTCTGAAAAAACGGCATTTATGATTTTCCATCTTTTTTCGGCGCGTACAAAAACATTTTATTATAGTTACTGGTAAATGTTACCCAACATATAGAACAATTAATTTTTTAGCATTATTGAAAATAGTTTAAATGCAAATTGAATTTAAAATCAAAAATAAACAATTATTGTAAACAATGTCATTTTGACATTCAATAAACAGCAATGCTGCCAACATCATAAAATTCACCAAGTTTATTTCGAGACGAAAACCAGCCAATCATATTGGCGCTACATACGTCATCGCAGCGCGCGTAAGTGTGAAATTCAAACTTTTACCCCATTTTTTGGCATAATATTAAGTTTTATATAAAAAAGGCCAAGTAGCAAGCACTATTAGGTTGAAATCTGCATAATTACGTGGAAATTGAAAAACATAAAACTTATAACAACAAAATATTGTCACTTAAATCGCTGTCTTTTTTAGACAGATGTCACTTGTCTTGTCTTTATTAAATTCATAATTTGAATTCCCTGAAAAATGTTGTTATACTCGTATAACAAAAGTTTCATCTTAACATAAAGTTTTAATCAATCACATTTGTTTACCTCCATCATTTACCAGATTAAATAGTACAGAAATTGCAGCTCAAACAATTCATTATTTATAGTGATTTATAGTATTTTAATAAATTATACAAATATTCTCGTTGATTATTGGTTTGAAATTTACTAAGTTATACTAAAGAAAGTTACTATATCTGAGCTGGCAAATGAACTAGATGCTTTACCTAGACCGTTATTCAGAAGCTACAAGCCTATGGATGAAAATATGCATGAAATCAAGGTTGGTACAGTTTCAAGTTTGTTATAGTGAATTTCTTAGCCGCGCATGACACAGTTCGTTACCCAGTGTTGCCACAAGCTTATTTTTCATCGGGGTAGATTATCACGAGATAACAGGTTAAATTGTTTTACAAAGGGGTAGATCTACACCGAACGGTGTGGCTGTGGCAACACTGCCGTTATCACTTTTCCCCTCGTTAGCTCGCGCGTCACGGCCTTTTACTCCGAACGCGCGTAAAGAAGTTTCACTTCAACAAATTTATATTAATAAAAACTAAATATACTGTTTGACTATGCATATTTATATTATTCTCCATTTTATAAATTTCTTAAGAATTCATGTTTAAACGCATTTTGAACGCCAGGGTAACTTTGGGAAAACTTTATGGTCTGATATTTTTTATCTTTTACTGACAATATATTAGTCCAGAATATACAATATAAAAACGTTATAGTATAGGTACCTCGAGTGTGTCCTGTATCTTTCTGGACCTGCTTTTCAGTTTCAACAGGTTCTGTTGAATCAGTTTCTGTTTGTGTCCCCTGGGTTACAAGTGTGTGTTGTTGCGGTTGACTCTCTTGACAATCTTGATTTGTATTTCGCTGCGTATGACTGGGTGGTGGAGTAAAATGTTGCTGAGTTGGCTGTGAAGCAGTTTCTTGAAATTGATTAGGCGACTGAGAATTTTCAAAATATTCTGGATGAGCGTCGTAAAATCGTTGAGGTTCACGCTGAAATTCTTCCCTAAACAACAAAAATTTATATACATGAAAAACTTATAAAACTTGGATTAATTAGGGTACTCTACTTTGAATGTAGCAGACAATGATTCAGTATTGAAACTAAAAGAATTTCGGACTTCCATTGTCTTTATTTTTTTTAATAAACACGTTTCGATTAGAAGGATCACTGACCGTTATCAAATGTAAACTAATTCCTAAAACTACTGAGCTTTTATACTGTAACGTTTTTAGTTCGTTACATGTCTTTAATATGATGTCTGGCGTATTGTCACCGGATTCCGTATTGTTCAGGCCTGATAACTTACTTGAAACGCTTGGCGTAGTTCTAACGTTCTCAAGTCGACAATCCTGCGCTGCTCTGTGGACATTGATTTTCAAGGTTTCGCTCTCGGCAAGATAACCTCACTTTTGTTTTGCCGGCGGGTCACCATCAACAACCCGACTTTTAGAAATGGTAATTTAAATCTTGCTGTATAATTTTAATCGGCTGCTATTTTGAAGCTACAGGTAAAGATGAGATATTATCTTTTTTTGATTCAATATTATTAGTGCATATTTTTAGGGTAGAGTTTTGGATTGGCCCAGCTCAACTTGTATTTGGTGTTTGCTGACACGTTAGTTTTCTTTTGTCCTCCAGAATGTTAAATGAAAGAAAGGACAGTTTCTTTGTTTATTATTGAGCCCTCGGAAGTAATTCGAGGTAGGTTTATTTTGTTTATTAGACCTTGTTTGGTTTTAAACAAGAGTTTCGTTTTTTTAGGGTCCAAGGTACGGACATTGTCTCATGTACTAGTAATGTTCCAAGGTACGGACGTTATCCAAGGTACGGGTAGTGTTCCCATGTACAGATTATCCTATGGACAGGTGTCCCATGTATATGTAGTTTTTCTATGGACGGATGTTCTATGTAGGGGTGTAGTTCCCATGTATGGGTAGTGATTCCTATGTACGGATGACCCATGGACGAGTGTCCTATCCCAGTCGATAGTTACGGCTGTATTGGTTCATGGTGTCCTCATCCTGGCTTCTTTTGTTGTATTGGCCAACAGTAAAGCCGAGAGAGAGTGCGAGATACAAGTCCCACCTCACGCTGAACTGTTTGAAGCAGGATTGTCTAAAGAACAAGCAGCTAAGTTTAGATTTAAGTTCTGGTTTTTATATTTTATATTTTCAGTCTTGAATAATATCGTATAGACTTTACGCTTAGTGGTTAAATTGCTTATGTCAGATTAGTATTTGAAATACGATTTAGATTTTAGTTTCATTACGAACATATCTTGTAATAGTATTACTTTCTATATATATTATTATTGCGTCATTTTGACAGATGAATAACCGAACCGATTCTAGAATCTACGGGTTGCAACATCTCAGATTTAATATTGTATAAAATTTAACAAATTAATTAAAGTATTACTACCTTTTATATATTTTCTATGGCCTAATCTATATTGTATTCTTCTATAGACTTTTTCATTAAACATATGTAGTACTATTTTTAACATTACTTTCTTCGACATATAACCACTATATTGTTAAAATCCTACAATGTTATTTACTATCAACAGAGTCCATGAATAAATATAGTCATTAATTTTAAGTAATATACAACTGTGTTTTCGTTCTCTGTTCATGCCTGGCGCCCAATATTCATATTTTTGATTTTTTATTGATAAATAGTTTTTCTCCAGTGAAATACAGTATCCACGACTGCTCTACCGACGAAAAGCTGCCGTTCGCAGTGGTAATGTTTAAAAAACGTTATGATACTACAACCAGGTATTCACTCGTGAAGAAGTTGGGTGCAGTCAACCGTGAGGTTATCCACTTAGAATTCCTGCATCGGTGCATGAGTGGTTGCCATATCGTAGATATTTCCGTACTAGGATCCCACTCTTTAAATTTACACTTTTTTTCAATGAGGTTCCCTGTGGGAAACCCCAGCTTCTGACCACTTTAAGGTCTATTCTTCCTATACCTTCCTTATCAGCTCCTTTCCGTTTACATAAAAATATTATACCATGTAAATGAATAGGACAATGTACATTATCCGTTCCGTTTCCCTTCCGTTCCATATCCTTTCTTCCATACATATTTTGGCGAATGGACTGAAGCGTATCGGAAACAGCGTTGTCAAGTTCTTACATTTGTACCAGCTCCGTTAAAATTTTGCTGATATCTATTTATTCTTTCACCTATTAATTAAATCTATTACCTTTTTTCAAAACATACGAATTTTTAAAATTAAACTTTCGTAATGATATAAATTGTACAATAAAAAGTATGAAACTGAAGCTTACGTATAGCGTCAATACAATAAAAATACAGAACGAATATGGAATGGAAACGGAAGGTATAGTGAGAATCAACCTTTATATTGTGCTGTTCTGACTCAACATGGTCCGCAATACCTGACTTCATTGTTTCACCTTTTTGTACATGTTTCTTGTGCTCGTACATTTAGAGGACGTTTACTCCAATATACGATTCACCGCATTCACAAGGTACCTGGTAGATACAATTACTGGTTACGCTAGACAAAATTATATCAAATTGTAAAACTGACTCATTGGTTCATCGACCTTAGGAGGATGCTCTCTTTTGACTATTCCATATGTCAAAGGAAAGTCAGGAAAGATCAGGCGAATAGCCAAAAAGTATCAAATTAAAACAAAGTTTTCAAATTTGGATCGACTCTAAGAACTGTCCTAACAAAAACATGACCGGAGTCATTGAAATCAGAGAAAAAGTGTATCTACCAGGTACCATTGGTAGTATTAACTTCATTAAGTATTAACTTCAGAGCAAAAATCGATTATATTTACGCGATTAAGGGATGGGGTTCCCATAAGGGGACATTGCACATGTATTAGGGATAAACAAAAAAACAGTGTTGGCTAAATCCAAAAAAAAATCAATATCCTTACAGACCAGGAGTTCTATATGGGACTACTAATTCTTGTACTACTTTTTTTTATCGCAATGGTACCTTGTGGATATTGGAGAGACTATACGTCCTCTAAATGTACGACTAAGCGAGCACAAAAAACATGTACAAAAAGGTAAAACAATGAAGTCAGGTATTGCAGACTATGTTTGGTTAAAACAGCACAATACAAAGTGGTCAGAAGCTCGGGTTGTCCACGGGGAACCTCATTGGAAAAAGCGCAAAAGAGGCCATTTTATTGCAAACAATACCAACATCATAGTAAATAGGATAGCAATCCTAGTAAAATAAAAAATATCTACGATATGGCAACCACTTTTAAAAAAGCATCAATGTAGTGATAATAAGTGGATAATCTCAGGGTTGACTGCACCCAACTTCTTCATGAGTAAATGCCTGACTGTAGTATAAAAGTTCAGTATTTAAATAAAACTATTTCTTGCCACATAACTGCTGTTTTGTAAAATTTTCAGCTTTCAAAAATAATGGAAAACTGAAAATAACAAAAAGTTATGTTTGTTTGCCGATATGGGGAAACCAACCAACCTCTCGTTACCGGTTTCGAAGCCTATACCCCATCATCAGACCAGCTAACTTTCTGGCTTTGGGCTGGATTTCACAAAACGGCAAACAAACAAATTCCTATATCAACTGATGACTTAGTTTAGTGTCAGTGAGTTATTAAATAAAGATCTAATAGCGGCCAGTACACAGATGGAAGAAAAAAGGTCAGTAGCTTTAGGAATTAGTTTACACTTGATAAAGGTCAGTGATCTTTCTGATCGAAACGTTGTGTGAATCAAAAAAATAAATAAATACAATAGAGTCCGAAATTATTTAAGTTTCAATAGGGTACTTTTATTCTAAATCTATTCATATTTTACTCTAGTTCAAAACCGTTCTGGAAAAAATTGTAAGGATATGTCAATTAATTACGTTAGGCGTTTATGAGGATTTTTTGAACCCCAAACTTTTGTGACAAATTACAAAGGTTTCAACTTAAATCGTGTTTAAAGTGTGCCTACCTATCAAAAGGAAATCCAAATCTTCCGCTGCTAAAAGGTCTCTCAAATCGCCTTAAAAAGTCATTATCACCTTGCTCTGGACGGGCGGCTCTTCTCGGAAATCCTTGTAAATGTTGGGCAAATTCTGGATGCCGTTGGGCAATATCTTCAAGAGGGTCCCTACCACGTCGGGAATTGTCAAAAGGGAAACCAGACTGAAAAAATAAATAAACAAAAATAAGTAAAAATTGTTAAATCATCATTCCATAAAAATAGTTTAATCATAGGTATAAAAAAACAGGTGTCGGTTACAGAGAAAGCGATTAAAGTGATTTGGCGTGTAAATCGTTTAAAACGTATTTTATGACTAGTACTATGACAAAATAACAGGATTATATAAGAGTGGTCCGACCAAAGAATTCTTCTATCTAATATATAAAACTTTCGTGTCACATTGTTTACCGTACTCCTCCGAAACGGCTTAGCCGATTTTAATGAAATTTTATGTGTAGGTATATTCAGTAGGTCTGAGAATAGGTTGTTATCTATTTTTTACCCCCCAGTGATAGGGCGGTCCACTCCAATTTTTTTTATCTTGGATAAACTTTTTTATTTTTTTTATTTTATTATGTAGCATTAAAAAATACATAATAATAATAGCTCCCGTATATAACGTTTAACGCCTTGGGAGTAGCAAGGTACAGCTTGCTATACTAGAGCCGTTCGGTATACAAGGAAGGTAATGTGGCTAGCACTACGCTTCAACCGCCTATTATTACCTCAGGATTGTGAATCCCAAGTACTCATTTAAGGCTGAGTCGACCTAGGTACCCAAACTATTTTTATTGTAATAAAAATAGTCGGCTGATGAAATGTTGGGTGTGGGAATTAAACCCACACCTTGAGATTGGTAGACGAGAGCCTGTACTTCTACGCCACCGGGCACCTTTAAAAAATAGATAAAACCCTAAATTTTCACCCTTCTACCATCAACCCCTATTTTTTAATAGCGATATTAGTAATTCAATAATTTTCAACCCCGTGAATAAAAATGACTGCTGTCTATGTATGTAGCAATGGGCTTAGTCTTCTCCAAGCTCAAGAATTAATTTTATAAAATGGCCAATAGCTAACTTGTACAATTTTATTAGCAACAAACAAATTTGTATTCCTATACAATAATAGAGTTAAATAGTATAGAATAGTATAGATATAAATAGTATATAATATTCCATTAAAAAACAGTGTGATTATTATAAACAAATTGACTATTAAATTGATCATTTAACAAAAATCCCGCAGAAACCTTTGATTATACATCTTTTTATAGATATTATTGTAAAACATCTTCCGAACCTCGAAATTGGTGGAATAAATTAGTGGTTTCAATTGTAGGTACTTTATACTTAAGAGTTTACAATTATTCAAAAGCAACAACTTGTGGTAATGTAATAAGTTTTGTATACCCAGAAAAATCCTAAAATTAGATTATAAAACAATACACTTTTTAACTAACCACAATTTCTCTTGGCGGATGATAATCAAACGCCAAAATGACATTACTCGCAAATTTTGAAGTATAATTAGTGTATATTAAGTTAAAGGTTTGTTAACTTTTTCTATTAATTGAAAATGATTACCACTAATTTTCACGTTCTGAATGCTTGCATTTAAATTAGAGGAACAAACTTCTACGCTAATTGGAACCACTAATTTTTACCACTACTCTGAAGGTTCTGAATGAAGCTTCATTCAGAACCTCACAATTAGTGGAATAAATTATTGATTTCAATTACGCCAGTGGCGGCTCGTGATCCGTGTGACTGGGTAGGCGACAAAATTTTAGTTGCGTCTATTGCCCCCCCCCTTCCATGTTAAAAACATAGTTCAAAAATATTTAGGACAAAACTAAAGCAAAAATAATAGCATTCAACGTAATGACATAATGATTGACATAATGTACAGGGTGTCCCATTTTGGTTGAAATCATACGGTATCTCCGTTATTAGCGAAGATAGAAGGATGTGGTTTGCACAAACCTGTGCCACTTTTTTGTCAAACGAAAGATGCTGTAAACAAAATTTTCATAGCCCACTTTGTTTCTGAGCCTCAGGGTCTTTTTGAAAATTTTGCAACTTGGGACACCCCCCGTATCTCTGTTATTGCGAAAGGTATCGAGAAGGTGAAACTTTTTTATTGTAGAACTTTTTACGTAGAATACAGTGGCGTAGTCTGTTTCTCTACGAAAAGGATATTTTTAAAGATATGAACTAAAGTTAGGTTTTCTTAAATGGATCACCCTGTATATTTATAAATTATATGATCTGGTTTGCCATAAGCTTCTCAAAAATATATATCACTCGATATTTATTTTCACTATTTACTGCAATATTTTTAGAAAAATATTAAAAGATTATATTTATTAGTATGATATCATCATATAATCATTATATTATATATATAATGATTAATAATAAAAGAAACTAAAGAATTATTAATAGTATACTGCTATCTGTCTCTTGTTTTATTTTGAGAGCCACTAATAAATTCTTTATATATTAGGGAAACTTAATTCTCTACCGCTATTTGTAAATCTTGGAACCTATCGTATCGGAACTTTTAAATATTCCTTTAACTAATTTACGTGAAATATACTTTCAGCAAGATGGGACTTCCCCTCGCAACTTAACTTACATCGAAAATATTAGAATTTTGTTAAATGACTATTTCCCAGATCAATGAATTGGGACCAATGGATCCATTGATAGGCTCCTTGATTCCCGGATTTGTCCTTTCTCGATTTCTGCATGATTTTGGGGATTTTTGAAATATGAAATATATCGTGGCAACTAATACAATGTCGAACACCTGGAAAATGCTTTAATTATGCAAGGTTTTAGATATTTGCAAACCCATCCCGTTATAACAAATTCCGTTATAAAGAAAGAAAAATATATTCATATAATCATTAGAGATTCAGTGGTAACAATTCAAAAATAAAATATATCAATCCCAAATAAAATTTTAATATGTGTATGACTATTTTAGTATACCATTTTGATTTTTATGTTATTTATCACGGCCTACTAATAAAAAAAATAATATATTTTAAATATTGAAGTAAAGAGTGAAAATAAATATAGAGTAATATATATTTTTCAGAAGCTCATGGCAAGACGGATCATATGATTTATAAATATACAGGGTGTTCCATTTGAAAAAACATAAGTTTGGTTCATATTTTCAAAAATATTTTTTCCATAGAAAAACAGACTACGCCACTGTATTCTACGTAAAAAGTTCTACAAGAATCAGTTTTCACCTTCTCGATATCATCCACAGTAACGGAGATACGGGAGCTGTCCCAAATTACAACATTTTCAAAAAGACCCTGTAGCTCAGAAACGAAGAGCGCTATGAAAATTTTGTTTACTGCATCTTCCGTTTGACAAAAAAGTAGGACAGGTTTGTGCAAACCGCACCCTTCTAACTTCACTAATAACGGAGATACCCTATGATTTCAACTAAAATGGGACACCCTGTACAAGTATAGTTTTTATTAATCTATTTTATCTATTATTTTTTTTATCTATTACTATGGAGTCACTATGAAGTACATCATAGAATTTTACTTTATTTTTATTTATTTACGCAAACTTAAAAATTGGTAGTATTGAGAGAAAGAATAATTATGTTTTATATATTAAATTGATGAGTCGCTCTCTTAATAAAGAAAAGTTATTTATTATTATATCAGTAAAATCATCAGATTGTTGAAGAGCTGTGAAAAGATCTTTTTAGATTGAAAGTAACAAGTTGCGATAAACGTTTATTTTTCATGGAATCTCTACTACAAATTTAGTAACAAACAAAACAAACAATTTGAAATCCTTAAATTATTTTATGCTCGAAATTATCATATCTATTATTAATACCTGCAATTTATTCATTAATTTATGTTGATCAATAACATTTTTTGTTTGTTAAATCACTATTAAATGCTTTGGAAGTTGGAAATGCATCAATATAACAAGTTTGTTAAATCAGATGTTAAATGCGTTGGAAATTTTTATAGGATTCTTTAAATTTCGGATCCGCAAGAGATAAATAAAAATAATTGAGACATACGAGTACCTATCTGCAAACCTTATTTTTAAATGTATAAAAATGTTACCTAATATTTCATAAAATAAAATTTGCAAAGATATTTGACTTAGCCGATTTATTAACATATCGAATTGAAATAGCACAAAGACTTTTCTGTAATATCTGTTGTATCGTCTTCTTGCACCGAATAAAATAACGCGCTTTTTTATTTCGGATTCTTTTATTTCTGTGGCGTGTTCATACAACCGGTTATATCATTTTTAATAATTTCGAACAAGCCCGAAAAATGTTTCCAATTTGCTTTAAACGTTTTTTGAATTTTCATATAAAAGTTTTAAATGATACGTATAAAGGCTGACGCTCACTAGACGGAAGCGCGCTGGAGCGCACGGTAGCGCGGCGAAAAGGATTTTTTATAATACATAGTTTTAAATCGTTTCGCTGCCGACCGCTGCGTTTCCGCCAAGTGAGCGCGCTCCCATTTAAAACTATGTATTTTAAAAATTCCTTTTTGCCGCACTGCCTTGCGCTCCGTCGCGCTTCCGTCTAGTGAGCGTCAGCCTTAATGAATCATATGAAATATCCCCTTAACGAAATGTGATATATCTCCTTATGAAATATCCGGAATATCCCCTTAACATCTAAGCCCACAGGGGAACTGTTTACATTTTATGCGAATGCCAACATCCTATTGTTATTGTTTGGTATGTTGCCCAGTATATCTCCGCTTTTGTTTATTTTTAATTTTGTATACGTATACTTTGGGGAAATCTTAAGAAAATAATAATATAATTAGCTTACTACTTTTCAAAATTTCGACATTTATAATTTTATTTAGTACTTATTAAGATTCAGTCAAGATTACAAGAAAAATAAACTTGAAATATTTGTAAATTTCGTCATTTTTCATCAGCTGTTAGGATTAATTTTTAATCTGACAACGCCGCTCTGTTGTTATAGTACCGTATGATCGAATAAAAAACGGCGTCAGCGATGGCTATGGAATGACGATCAATGACATTTCCCATATAAATTTACATATAAAATGTCAGCGATCTTCATTTCATAGCCATCGCTGACGCCGTTTTTATTCGATCATACGGTATTT